TCACTTGTCTATCTAACTATACCTTCACTTTTATATAACCTTTAAGTTTCGCTTTTTAACTCCTGTTTGACATTTCTTTTTCAAGTGTATGAAATTAATGAAAATAATATATTTTTATTGTACATTAATATAATAACATTATAAATAAATTTTATAAAATTAATGAATAGCTTCCATGTAAAAGATGTGACTTATCTTTTATATCTATTCATATTTTTTTATTAAAAATATTGTAATTTTTAACAAAAATAGAGTGAATGAAATGAGATAAAAAAATGATTTATACAATCATTAAAGTGTATATAATACTATATATATATATATATATATATATATATATATATATATATATATTAAAAATATTGATAATTTATTTAATTGACATTTTTATTGTTTAGTTAAGTTAAAGAATTGTGTCTTTTTTAAAGTGTAGGTCAATCACAAATCATTAAAATATTTTTGAGTAAACATTATTAATATATTGTTAAAAACAATGTTTTCTCATTTGAGTTTAAGTCTCAGCTAAGTTTAAAAACTGTTGAAAATATTATTGTTTGTAAATAACTTGTCCTAATAAGAGATTGTATTATTAGATGAAAGTTTAAACATCATATATTTATTGAGACAATAATATGATTTGTTATAAAATTATTAATTTAAAACAATAGATATATCGGTATTATTGAATATATTAGCAAATTGTAAAACAAAATCTTTTCAAGTTTAATATAAAATTATAAAATTTTATCAAGATAATTAAATTCGACATAATTATTTAAATTATTGTAAATAAAATAAATTATAATTATAAATTGAAAACAAAAGTTTTTATTGATATTTTTATATTTTATATAAATTATTTTGCTTAATAAATTGTTTTAAACATTATCTAATACATGTATATATCTACAATTTATATAAAAATTATACTGTCTAGTATCTATTTTGATCAAACTATAAAATGTATTATTAACTTTTTTTCTTTAAAATTTTTGTTTAGTTATTTTTTCATATTTGTTAGTTATTAACATAATTGGTTGTATTGATTTATAGTAGAGACTGAAAACTGACCTGATTTTTCAGGTCAGGTCAGGTCAGGTAAAAGTTAGGGCTCAGGTCAGGTCAGGTACGGGTCCGAACACCAAAATTTTTTGGTCAGGTCAGGTCAGGTCCGAAATTTTTTTATTCATTATTTAAACGACAATTATTACAAAATATGACAATCAAACACAAAATTTATTAAATTATTATTTATAAAATAGTTGTATAAATTAAACATAAAATATTACAAAAGATGATGGTTTTGATCTAATAAATAATAACATATTAACTTTATTAGAATCTAAGTTAGATCTACAATCAGTTATCGTTAATCCCGAGTAATTAAAGTTAATTTAGAGAAATTTGTTGCGGGTATAGAATAAATAAAATTGTTTTTTGATAAAATTATTTTCGGACCTACATAGTCAGGTCAGGTCAGGTCAGGTAAATTTGTACCCTATGTTAGGTCAGGTCCGAGTCCGAGATTTTAGGTATCAGATCAGGTACGGGTCAGGTACGGGTCCGAAACTTTTCGCTCTCTAATTTATAGTATTTATTGGCATAACATAATGTCACAATACAATCAAATTCTAAATATGACAAGTTTTTATATATTTAATAATATAGTTGACTTTAAAAGTGAATTAATTATCTAATTAATGGAAAATATTTTTCTAATCAAAACGATGGAAATTTTGAATTTAAGGCCTAAAAATGTTGGAAAAGTTGTCATTTGTAACCAATATTGTTGTTATTTTGTTGAGGGATGGACCTAAACCTTCCAGAAATATATATATTTATAAGTTTTATATATATATATCCTTAAAACCTAATTTTTTCACGACATTATATAAAATTTTCAAATCAAATATAATTACAAAAAAATAAATAAATAAATGACTTGATGTAAATTTTCTTATTATTTAAGTAATATTGTTTGTGTAATACAATTCCGGTTTCAATTTCTTTTTATGCTTTACTTATTTATTGCTCATAAAAATAATGCCAAATGAATGTAAAATATATTATATATATCTATATCTATATAAAGCAAATGAATGAAAATGAGTGACAACTTAGAGTCGGCCCAAAAATTGATCCCCAAATACATCTAATATATAAAATAAATGGCAAATTATACAAACTATATGTTTGTCGTTTACTTTTTTATAATATCATTTTATTATTATATTTTGTTTTTCAATTGGTTTTGTTTTGTTAAAATATTTATCATATAAAATATTGTATGAGATTGTATTTTTGTTGTTGTTGTCGACATTTACTTATGTTAAAAACAATTTATATTATATGATATAATTTTGATTTTAAATAAAATCTTAAGATTTTATTTTATTGTTTCATATGATATCATTTTTAATGATTTTAACTAAATAAGAAAATATATATATTATATATGATATACAATATTTACAGTCGACTGCTTAATGAGGCTAATGAATAACCTGTCCATTGACTGCTTTGCCTTTATTTTCTCTATGTTTTCATAATATTGCAGTAATACTATACACTCACTACTCTTAGTTTAACACAAGTTTTATATAAGAAATTTTTTGTTTATATTTTTATACGAAGTATTATGACGTTTACTATAATGTAAAAACACACTGCATTTTAAGTGGTTAAAACATGTGAGTATACAAATTTGAAAGAGAGAGAGAGAGAGAGAGAGAGAGAGAGAGAGAGAGAGAGACTGTTTTTAAAATAAAAAACTAATGATTGCCAATAGTTTATACAACAGTATATATACACTACTTGTTGTTGATATTATAGTTTTGTTGTTGTTGTTGAAAAAAATCATTTGGATAACACAGAAATCAGAAACATTTTTACATTATATACAGTATATATATAGTAATATCCAAGGACTTTGTCAATATGAATGTGTTTTAACATTCAATGTCTTTATATTTATTATTATTATTATAAAATATCATTTACTTTAACATCAATACATGTTTGAAACATGTATTTATTCCTTAAGTATAACACATATTTCAAGGAATATTATTAATATATTTCTCTAACACATAAATTATTGAATCAATAGTAGATTGTTCGGGATATTTGTAAAAAATTAAGTTATTATTGAATATATATTTGAATTTATATTGTTTTGTCTTTTTTGATAATTTGTTAATATTTTTGAGTTACTAATATTGATGAGTGATTAATATTGACTGCTTTTTGAGAAAGTGGTGCAAAAAAATAAAAATATTTAAATCTCAAGTTTCAAATAATGAATAAAATGATGTTTAAGTTTATATTAATCGGTAATACAGTATATTGTGTTATATTTAAATATATAAATACAGTAAATAAACGGTATGTATATATAAATATATGACAATCACAACTAAAGCAGAAACCAATGCTAACGATATGGTGGTCGCCCTAAAAAAGCTCGTAAGCTCTGCATCATTGCCAGTGCTTTTCAAATGGCAATGTTTTTAGGGATATATACAAGTAGTGACCCATTTATATGAACAGTTATAACAAATCGGGACACCTTTTTTCATAGCATAGGCACTGCACCACTGGATAGACGTGTTTTTTGTTTGAAGCACTTGTTATATAGTGATTCCTGAGCTCAAACCGTATATTCAAACAAATACTTTTTTTACCAGTAATTACCAGAAATTTCTTTACTCTAAATAATCCAAATACCGGATCCCAAATATCTATTTTTCTAACATTTCACTTAAATATATATATATATTACATAAATTTTCACTGAAATCATCATTTTTACGATTATAATCCTTTATTATTATATATTTTAGATATCAATATATTATTTCTATATAGTATTTACTGTAAATATCATTTATATATATATATATATATATTTCTCATTTAAATTATTTAAAAAAAGATTTGCATTTGTATTGTTTTATTTGTTTTCACTATATTTGATGTTATTATTTTTAAATATTGTCCACAAATATATTTTTATAAACAAATTTTATATATGTTTATTATATCTTTTAGTATATATATGTTACATAAGATCAACAAAAATTGAATGACATTAGTCAGAGTATTATTCATTGTTTTTGAACGCATGAAAAACAATAAAAGTTTTCCTCATTTTATCATATTTTTGAATTCGTTGTTTTGCAAAACTTTTTTATTTTATTTTTTTAAAATATGAGAGAAGATTTGTGGACAACATTTTGGTACAGAAAGAGGTCTAAAAACTGTAGGTTTGAAAGGAAAGGGAGAAACGATTAGTTGATTTTAGAGGGAAAGCGAGTTAATTGTGATTACAATAAGAGTGACATCAATGCACTGGTTATGTATTGCTTTTAACTATTGATTTGAATACATTAATATTGTATATATAAATATTGTGTACATATATAGCAATAATAATAATAATAATAACAAAAATAGTTAACTCTGTAAAGTGTTATCTCTCTCTCTCTCTCTCTCTCTCTCTCTCTCTCTCTCTCTCTCTCTCTCTCTCTCTTTCTCCCCCATAATGTTATAAAGTAGGCACAGGTGGTTGCGGTGGCAACTGTATTGCCACTACAATAATACAGTCATAAGAACCTGTATTTTGTGTTTTAACCCAAAACTATCTGTATTTTCGTATTATAAGCGGTAGAGTTAGTCAGTCAGTCAGTGCCTGAGCTGATCGGCCGAACTCATACTCGAAACGTAACATTCATTTAACACATAACTGGTAAGAGGGCTGGAAGTTAGTGGTGACCCAATTCTACCAGTGCTTTCTGGGCCACAAACACATACACTACCACTACATACGACTACCACTACAGTTAACAACTGCTCAGTTGATTATTCATATCAAACATTGCAATAGTTTTAAAAATCATTAATAGTTTTATATATTTTTATTAATATGTGATCCAAGTTTTGCCAATCAGTTGCTTTTGCATTGATTTTTCATTTAAATAATTTTGATTGTGATTTAATAAAAATGTAAAACTTTATCAATTAATAGATAATTTAGTAAATTTGTTGCTTATAAATGCCGGTACTTATACTTTTGACCACTTCTTGATAATTGTTTTTTTAATTAACTTTTTTCACTAATCAAAAGTTTTATTTATTTATTTTTTGTGAACAGAATTACTATTCAAGAAGTATTGGTATGAATGAAATGTATTGTGACCTCCAATCTCGTGGTATTAAACGAAAGTTTGTTGACGACGACGAAGATTCAGGGAATCAATCACTTCAGACACAGTCGCTGTCCATCAGAAAGGGTGACATTACTTCCACAAATACCATCATCACTACCACTACAAACAACAATCAACTTAATGTTCATCCAATTTCTTCCAAACTGAACAATAACTCGACAACAATAACAGTGACGACATCAACGACTACAACGACGCCACTGAAGGCCACTATCTGTGCAAACCTGACATCTCGTCTGTCATCATCACCACTGAATCACCAGAATCTGACTGTTCAACAATGTTTTGTACGACACAGACAACAGATATTCAACATAAGTATGTGTAAACTGAATCGTTTCCGTCAATCCCCTGATCCCAGTCTATTGCGTTCAGTACTTATTTGTAATACTTTGCGGACATTGGAGCGGGAATTGGACAGAGAGGGCGTTAAAATTAACTTTGGACCCAATGGGGTCTCATTCATACCGCCCGTTATGAACACCCAGAGTATGACACTCGACCCCCCGCCCACTGTCTCCAATAATTCTCAGACTTTATTAGTTAACTTAAATAATAATAATTGTAATAATAATAATATAAATAATAGTAGTGTTAATAATAGTAATAATAATAATACAAACAATGTTGTGGAGGGCAATAGCTTAATGGTGACAACCAGTACGTCATCTTCGACGTCAAGATATCTGCCGATGTGTGTCATACCAGACACAGAAACTGATTCATTAATGGACACTACAAATGGTGATTACGATAAATATTTGATGGATTTGGACACAACATCGGGTCGAGTGACTCCATTTCAGAAGTCACTTTCGGTTACGAATGTGGTCTATGATAACGAATCTTCTTCTCTGGACTTTACATCGAACTCATTGTCATCCCATTCCTCAGCCAACAGTGCTTTTTGGGGCTCCGATGAGGCGTCTGATCGCTTAACAAGTATTAATTGGAGTTCAGTACTTAATTTCAATTCATCGGTGACCACCTGTTCCGCCTCTACCAGTGCAAGCAAGACGTCTCAACTGAGTGCGAACGGTCACCAAAGCAATGCCACGAATGCAAGTGACGGAAGTGTTGTCTCTACCGATGATAGCGTCAGCCCATTAAATGGGAGATCAAGCGTAACGTCTAATAAGTCGAATACCTGTTCATTCACTACACTCTTACCTCCGACAACCAGCTCTTCATCGACGGTCACACCGACTATAACGACAAATACGACGTCTCTATCAACTGTTCCCTCGCTATCGTCGACAATATCTCAAAACCTGTTGACAACAAATGTGACAAATAGTCATACAGTCATTAACGGCAATTCAATATCATTTTCAAGCAATTCATTAAATGATGAAATTTTCGGTGATATAGACTTATCGTTATATGATTTTGACTTATTATCTCCACTTTCGCCACCAAATGTCAAATTGACATCCATTACAGCTGAAGAACTTATTAGAACTATTTCATCGACAGAAACAATGTGTTCCTCATTGGTTACCACAGTATCTTCACTATCATCTTCTTCATTATAATTTTTATATTTTGTATTTTTATTTGTAAATATTTTTATTAATAATATATATAATACTTTATCATATAAACTATATTAAATATACTGAATATATAAAAATTAAAAAACTATATGTTATTTTATTATAAAAAATAGTTATTTATCAATGTTAAAGACAATGGTTGAAATAATTTCGCAATTTTATATATTATATAACTTTAATAAACTATAAAAAATAAAACAAACAAATTATGATTTCATGTATAATGAAATAAATAAAAGTTTAATATATTATATTAAATTACTTGAATTTTACAATAAGTTTTTTTTGTCGATTATTAATACCAAAGCTTATATAGAGTGTTAAGTTTTTAAAAATTTTAAGATTATATCATATAATTTATATGAAATACAAAACAAAAGCATTGCACGCCATCTGTATTTATATATGTATTAAGTTATGATAAACTAATTTAATTAATAATGAAATTAATAATTATTAAGCTTTTTAGTGCTTTATTTATTATAAATAATATAATTTAGTTATAAATACATAAAATAATGTTTGTTTAGTAGATAATTTAACTAATTAAAATATAATACACATTTAATATAAATTTTATTTATTAGTATAAAATCAAAAGTAATAATTATATTTATTAATGATTAGACGCCATCTACTTATTAAATTTATTTCAAATATTTTAAATACTTTACAGTATTTGCTTAATGTATGTATAARTAGATGGCGTGCAATGCTTTTTGTATTTCATTTCATATAATCTAAAAATTAAATTATAATTATTGTAATAATAATTTTACATTATATAAAAATTAACAATAATTTAATTTAATTCAACACTAAAGTGCTTTCATTAAAAAAATTGTATATTTGTTGTATACTAATGTTAATTATGTACTTTTATATTCCTATTATAATACAAAAATAATATATCATATTAAATAAATTTAGATCCAAAACAAAGCTTTTTTTAATAATAAAATTAAATATTAGTCTACTGTTAAAAATAAATAAATATAATCTATTGTAAGTAAATTCATATTTTAACTATGAATTTGATATAATTAAAATCTATAAATTTTGATAATATATTACAATTTTAAACTATTCTCTTAAAAATGTTTCCTTAATTTTAGTTCAATGATATAAAACGCTGTATAACTAAATATATAAAATAATTTAAATCTGAAATTATCTAAAATTTATTTCTATAATAATATAAATTTCATTTAACTTTATTCAATATATCATAATATTAATAAAACTTGTTATTTTATATATAATATGTCAGGCATTTAATAAAAAAGGTTATCATCAAAGTATCAATTATTAAATACTTATTTTAACTGATTTTAATGTTTTTTATTACGGATAATTATTTTTTATAATTTATTTTTAATAAAACAAGTATTTATAAACAATTATTTAATTAATTATATATTCTTTAACTTTTTAAAAATAATTTTATTCATATATATTATAGAATATTCTATTTATTTATTATTATTATTATATTTTTAATTATAATATAATATTTGTTTGACTGATAATAGTTTTGATTCAACTCTAAAATAAAAGTACTGTTTATGTAACAAAAGCTATGTGTAATGTATTGTAGAAATAGTATAATATTTAACATTATTTTCAACTACTGTTTAGGCCTTTTATAGATAACTATAGATTACATTAACATTAAGTGACTCTTAATAGACATTCATTTGAAACACTGTTTTGAAGACTTGTGAAGACATTTGTTAATCACTTATACATTGGTTATAACAATGATGTCGTCAACCGTGTCCTCGCTGTCGGTCAGTGTTACCGTTGAACCACTAGATGAATATCAGGTCCAAGATATTACATACGATGGACAAGAAAAATACATTCAGTAAGTGATTTAATTGATTGCTTGATCCAATTGATCCCTATTTACAATGATATTAATTTAATGTTAATAAATATCTTAACTATGAAGACCATTGTCAATGTCGGACAACTTTACCAAATTGGTGTCAAAGATTGACTTTTCCAAGATTGACAACGAATCCAATGACACAAACAATGACATGACGGACACCATATCGGAAACCAATGAAGTCGATGATAGCAAAGAGTTGGCCACATTTCAGCCGTCTCTTTGGCCATTTGACTCCATTCGCAATAAATTAAAGTATTTATTAAATATTAGATATATTTTTGAGACTATTTTAATGTTTTATAATTTAATCTGAAGACAAGCTCTGACCGAAGTGACTGTTTTGACAGACGTTTTAACCGTTGTTAAAGACAAACGATATATGATATTAGATCCCGTTTCTCAAGAGACTAATGATATGAAACCGATTACAGCTTTAATTGCGAAGAAAAAGGTTTTGTAAAATTTAAAGTAATTAATACTTGTATTATAATTGTGATTGTCTTCAGGCACTACAAGTTGCGTCTCAAATACTATCCAACGGCGCCGAACGTATTCGTGTCGCCCAATCGGAGGCCACTAAGAATAGGGCCACAGATTTTCATACCGAGTTGTTTCACATGAGACAGAACTGGAGATTAAGAAAGAAAGAAAACTCAATACTCGGTGATCTCAGTTACCGAAGCGGTAAAGCAATAGTTATTATTAGATGTTTAGTGTTTTGAAATTAAATTACCGATAAAATAATAATAATTCTTTAAAACTAAAGCCGGTTCTCGTTTTCCACATACGGGAACGTTTGAAGTGACTAAAAATGAAGACCAAGTTAGTACAGGTACCGGTCCGCGTGCCAGTGCTCTCAAAGTGAAAGTACCGGCAGATCTGGAAGGCGGCAGCTTTTTTCAAGTGAAAACACAAAAAGGTTTGATTGAATTTTACTAAATATCTAACTGTTTATTTGTTTGGTGTGAATTAACGTCTGTTACTGTCTTACTAACAGACTGTGATGTTATTGATGATACTGAACCATCTCTTCCCATACCATCTGTTTTATCAGCTAATGCTGACTTGAATTGGCACCAAAAGCTTGAAAACGCCCAAAACGTTTTGTTTAACAAAGAACTGTTTGCTCAGTTAGCTCGTGAAGCTGTTGACTTAAAACTGTCGATACCGACCACAGTTATCGGTAATAAGATAATTGCATCCCTTTTTCCTGGCGTGCAATTGTCAATAGTTTTATGTCACACAACAATTAATGGTAAAATCATGCATCAAAAGTCATCACCACTAGCCATCCCCTCCAAACAAGATTCACCAAATAAACCTGTTTTAGAGCATTCATTGCATCAGCTGTTGCGAGAGATGCATCACAACACACTKCATCATCCTATGCCTCATCCGACTACTGCAACATTAGGTGTTAGTTGTAAACGATATTTGGCGGGACCTGAAGCTTATGACAGACAAACAATAATAGAAATGAACAAAAATGATACCATTTTAGAGCAAATCATATCTCAGACTCAACACGATTTGTTACGTTTGAGGACAATGTATATGATTGATACAACTGCTTCCGAAATAAAAGATCCTATTATTGTTGCCCATTGGCTGTGTCTTAACAGTGCCACTAAAAGTAGTGTCAAAATTAATATAGTCTCCTATGGCTATGAATCCCTCTGTAGAACTCCTCTTGTCATTCATATATCAACCAAATCATTGAAAGCAATACTTAGAGACGGAAGAGTCATAAACATGTCATATGAATCACAAGAATTGCGTTATTTATTACTTAATCAGGTTTTTAATGAGTTTTATATAATCATTAACTAAGTTTTAAAACTATATTTAAAATGTCTGTATAGATATCGCAACACCAGATATTTGCCATTCAAGCACTTTCTAAGCCAATGGGATGGAAAGTATTGTCACTAAATATAAACGTAGGCGTCGGTCACGTTGAGCCCATTGGCACCGCATCGTCAATAGTTTTAGTCTCACCTAATGGCGATCGGTATGTATAATAAATTTAATAATTTGATTTAATCAATCAATTTATAATTTATAAAACATTTATAATACTTAAATATAATATTAATAATACATTTATATATCTATTGTTAGATTTCTTGCCATCCGATGCGGTCCCTACTCTGGAATAGAAGTTAAGATGTGTTCGTCACCTCAAGAGTTCTATCCGAGTGCTTTAGTTCGGGACCGCAAATGGCAAAACTTGACCGGAAGTTATCGGGAAGTGGATTGGGAAAAGATTGAGGGAAAAAATTTTGTCAATAAAATTGAGTATCTGATGGCGAGTCTCGTTAGTTATTAAGATAACTACTTATCATAACAGTTGTTATTTTCTTAATTATTTTTTAGTATCTTTAATTTATTTATTTATTTGATATTTATATATAACTATAAAAAAATGTAGAATCATTAATTGAAATTATTCTGGAAAAATATTTTTGTCAATTTGTATTTTTATAATTTATATAAACATAAAAATATGAAAAATAATATTGAATTATGACATGTAAACTATTACCGTAATTTATATTTAATATTAAATTGTAAAATTAATTAATTGATATGCTATTTGATAGTTTTAATAAATTAGTTTCAGTAATATACTAATACTGTATCAATAATCAAATTCAAATGTTAATTATATTAATATGAAAACAACACATCTGTCATTGAAATAAATATTTATTTTTAAAAAATTTAACTATAATTAAAAGCAACGATAAGCGAGTTAGTTGTCTGAAATTGTTTTTAAAAATACAGGTAATAATGACTACATTGAATAATTTTAGGACAAATTTAAAGTTATTAAGTGACGGATCAATTGTGGCCATAAATTCAGGTCCTAATTGTCGCAAATGTGATAAATATCACCCAAAAGTGGTTCATCCAATTGTTTGGCAAATATATAGGAATTGTCATCATTTTAGTAAGCATTTCAGTTACCGGTAATTGATTTTATCAATAATTTTAGAGCATTAGTAGTATTGTATGAAATTTGTTAATAATTTATATACAAAAATACTGCTATAACGTAATATCAATAATTTATATYAAATATTGTAATATTGTCTGTAATCTAGAAATAAATTTTTAAATATAACTTATAGTCAATTTATATTCAAATAGTTTTAACATTAATTTTATTTTTTTCCTTTATATTTACATTTTAATAAATTTATAAGTTTTATATAATAATTTATAATATACTAGTAATACATGTATTATTATTATTATGTTATAAAGTCATTGTTAGCTATAGTCTGATAATTATTAGGTAATCATCGATGCATTAAATATGTGGTATTACTTGTATGACACCTACCTATCAATGAGTCATACATTTATACGATAAATACAAAGTCGACTCTAATAGAGATAGAGTTAATCGTTAATCCGTTTATAATCTATAGGTCTATAGTATAGACAACTCATTTAATTTACATATACTTTAATACTGTATAAGTGTATAGCGTTTGACAAGTGTTTGCCTAATGTTTATACATATGATGTGATGTTTTGTTATGAAAAGCAAGCATTCAATCAATACATAGAATATATTATAATATAAACAGAAAACCAGTCATTGATTAGTTGTTATTAAATATATGTTTAATGTTATGGAAATTGTTTGCAAACATCTATACTATAGTAATGAAAACAAACGATTGAATAAATCAATGAATGAATGACTAAATGATTGATTCATTTGAAGTATAATCAGGTTTTGTCACAAATATTATCCGCCGTTTTGTTGGACATCATATCAAATGACACTCAATATAATCGCTAATACATTAAAACAATTATTATTTAAAATAATATTGTTTTAGTTGTTTATATCATTTGATACAAACTATAATTGTTTTTCTGAGTTTGACTACCGATTATCGGTTAATAACTCAGTGGACATGACATTGACGGCCCAATATCGGCCCTATCGGGGTATGACATGACATGTCCATACATTTACCATAATTGTCTTATTAATGATTACTTTCAAGTAATATTGATTTCAATTTTAATAATATAATTTTATCTTATATTTGGTCAATGAAGACGATGTTGATGGTCTGGACGGAGTGGACAACTCGGACCTTTCGTGGCCGGACAACGAGATCGGAACCATTCAGATATACGAGAAGACAACTGAAGATATTCCGTTTGTTTCCAATCGACGACTTTTATGCGGTGTTGTAATGCTATCAGTATTGACATTATTGACCGGATTTTTGATCGGTTATTTCGCGCACTCGACTCACTCGGAATGTGTCCCCAATTTGGTCAGTCATGACATTTATCTATGATTTTTCAACCAATCACTAAAAGTGGTTTTTATTTCATTTAAAGGCGATGTCATTACATGCGGTCCGCGACGAAAATCCTACCATTAGGTCAAAGATATTACAAAGAGTTAATGCAAAGTCCATCCGAAGTGTGATTAAAGAGTTTTCCCGCGAATCACGTTTAGCCGCGTCTGACAATGATCTCAGAATTGCCATTCAAGTTAAAAACTTCTTGAAAGCCCATCATTTCGATAAAACTGAACTCAAAAATTATTCAGTATTGTTGTCAATACCCGAATCAAATGAATCAAACTTTATTGAAATTATTGATCAAAACCAAAATAAATCCATATATTCTTCACTAAACGCTGACAATAAAGACAGTGATTCTTTAGGAGCCTTCTGTGCCTATTCTCCAAACATTGATATTAAGGTAAAAAACACAAAAAAAATTAAAACCTTATCACCAGTTGTTTTGCTAATTATTTGTTTAATAACATTATTATTATTATATATAGAGTTCTGTTATATTTGTAAACTATGGCCGTCTCGTTGATTACCAAATATTACAAAACGCCTATAATATAACTCGCGATACTATCGCCGGAAACATATTAATTGCCAAACAATTTCATCTGACAGCTGATGAACAGGTATACGAAAGTTTATTTATTTTATTGATATTATTTTATTAAATATAATTAATTTTAATATAAAAGATGGCATACGCTCAGCAAATGGGTGCCGCAGCTCTTCTATTATATCCCGATCCGGAAAACTATAATCCTCCAAAATTAAAAGCTAAACCTTATCCAGAATCTCCATATATGCCACCCGATGCTATAAGACTCGACTCATTACTCTGGAATGGTTTAGGAGATCCACAAACACCAGGGTTTGTACTTTTATTTACTACTAATATTAGAGTTATTTAATATATTTATAAATATTTGTTTGCATCAGATACGCGGCCACACCATATGCACACCGTTTGCCATTATCGTCAATTAATTTACCCAGGTATGTTTTGGGACAATATTGCTCTTATTCAGACTAATTTGATCATAACTTTTCTTATTATAATTTACCTGTAAATCCTTATCCTTATTAGTATTGCTGTTCAACCGATAAGTTATACGACAGCTCTTGAAATACTCAGTCGTTTGGATGGGAAAAAAGCTCCCAATGATTGGAATATTGGCTCAAATGTTAGTTACTATTTAGGTCCCGGTTTCCGAAATGACGGCTCTTCTAATTTTACTCTACACTTAAAAGTGGCCAATAGTTTAGTTAATAAAACAATATATAATGTCATCGGATCTATTAGAGGCAGAGTAGAACCCGATCGATACGTCATAATTGGTAATCATAGAGATGCCTGGTTTAAAGGTGCTATTGATTCGGCCGCAGGAACGGCAGCTTTTCTAGAATTATCCCGTATTTTTGGTGATTTACTTGTTGAAGGATGGCGTCCGCGTCGATCGATTTTATTTTGCAGTTGGGGTGCAGAAGAATTCAATTTGATTGGATCCACTGAATGGATTGAGGAAAATCAAAAAATATTGAACAGTAGAGCCGTTGCCTATATTAACTCAGACATCATAGTGATTGGTAACGGAAGTCTAAGTGTGGCCGCCTCACCACTTCTATATCACGCCATATTTAACGCCACCAAAGAAGTGATTAATCCAAATGAAGAAGACGAAGCCAAAACTGTATACGACAAGTGGCTAATTAGCTATCCATTGATGAGAAACACATCGGGTATGATATCTCCTAAACAAAGTGCTTTTGATGCAGACATCGATCTAATTAGTGACTTAAGTAATGCAAACAAGCATTTAAAAGAAGAGCCCAACGAATCCGGTTATCTTTTAAGAACTTATTTAGAGTCAGCAGTACTTCAGATCAGACCAAAAGTACGCCAATTGGATATGAGATCTTCTTACGCGCCATTCTTCATAATGTCTGGAATTCCGGCACTGGATATCACTTATACGAGTTCTAATGATTTCAGAGGAGAATCTTATAATCAAATAAATTCAATGAGTTATCCATTATTACACACAAAATACGATACTTTTGATTTGATTGAAAAGTTTATCGATCCTGACTTCAGATATCATAAAGCAGTTACTCAAGTATTGGGAGAAATACTTAGAGATTTGGCGGACTCACTGTTCATACCATTCAATCTTCTGGATTACGCACAGGTTCTCAAAGATCTTTACATTACATTATACATACACACGGAAACCATACTAACTAATAATGGCATTAATATTGGTATTTGATTTAATTTATTTAGTTATTATAAATAATATTAATAATAACTAATTTATATTATTTATGAATAATAGAATTATTGGATTTAGCCATTAAAAACTTTACGAAAGCCGCCGTCAAGTTTCACTCAAAACAAGACAAATTGGATTTCAAAGAGTATGTCCTCTTAATTAGATAATTATTTTTTAAAATATATATTTGACTTAATTATTATATTAATATATTTAAGTCCAATGGCTATCCGACGGATTAATGATCAGTTGATGTTAATTGAGCGCACATTCTTAGACACAAATGGTTTACCGCGAAATATGATGAAACGTCATATTGTGCTCTCACCGGGAGAAGTGGACCCACCATACGATGAAATGTTTCCCGGACTTATGGACGAGTTTGCAGTACTATTACAGCATCCAGGCACCGGTGTTAAAACTCAATGGAGTTGGGATGTGATTAGAGCACACTTTTCAATACTAGTGGCCACTATAGATAACGCATCAAATGCTATAAGCGATGTTATCTGAAAAATGGGATAACAATCATAATATCTAATTTCATATTATACACAAAAATTGATTTAGATTTTTGCGAGACTAGACATCATTATTACGATTAATGTCATATAATTTTACTTATTAATCATATTTCGAGCCAATCATCACATGATATGAATTAGAAATTTTTGAACATTATTATCGATACTTATATATAGATAGAAAGGCAACTAAAAGTTCAAATCATTTAATACTGACTTAACATTTATTAATGTGTTTTAAAAAAACATTTGTTTGATTACTTGATATGTGATTTTATTTGGGATCTGTTTTGCAATTTATTTATTATATTTTAAGACATTATTGCACTCACCGGTTACTTCAATTTTTATTGGTTTTTATTGTAATTTTTATAATTTTAGGGATCATAGCTCTAAATGATATGTCTTATACCATAATAGGAAAGAATCAACTTTTAAAAATGTTAACAATTATAACATTTGATTATTACAGTAAATGTTGTCATCAAATAGAAACTGGCAATTGTCAATCATGTTATCATTATTTATAAAAATTAGTATTTTATTATTATAATACAATAGTTAAAATGTCCATTTTTGAGGTAATATGGGATTTATTGCTCATAATATATCATAAATTTTTAATAGTTGGTTCAATTAATTAACTTTGTATTATATATAATTTATTGCAATGAATTAATAGCAACACAGGGTTAGCAAATATGTTGAGTGTATATTTGCGGATAGTTTTTATTATAGAGAAATTGGTTTAATATATAATATATTGTTATTTATGTGATACATAAGAATTTCATTTTAAAATTTTGAAAATGTTTTTAACTCTAATAATATTTTTAATTTTGAGATTAATTACAATCTATTTTATAATTATTGATGAATTTATGATTCTTTACTATTAAGTATTAAGACCTCATTTAATGGCATTTATACTGTTTATAAACAGTTATATATTGTGTAATATAGTTTTTTATAATTTTATTTATTATATAATTTAATATTTAAATATAGTTATTATAATTATATTCTGTGATTTGTAAAAATATAGTTTATACTAATTAATAATTTATTAAACACTATATATTTTGTTTTGAGTATTAAACTTGTAAAGATTTTGGTACTTAATATTTATTTTTTAAAAATTAATATCGATTTAAAACTTAAATGTAATTTTCCTTAATTAAATTAAATTTAGTTTATTTAACTAATGGACTAATGTTAGCTGTTTTATCAAAAAGTAAAATAAAATATAATAATAGAAATAACTATAAATTCATTTTGGATTGGAATTTGAGTTGTCGTACAGATTGTTGTATTTGTAATACAATCTGATGTCAAAAGTAAGGAAACAATTCAATTAAATTACTATTTTTTCAAAAAACAATCTCAACCCTGAAATTTGAAAATTTTTTGACACTAAAATCATATCTTAAAGATATGAAAAATATGATTCAACACTTTATAGGATGTAATCAATATATATATATTACAAAATGTATTCAATGAATGATTTTTGGTCTAAAAGTATGAATTTGTTTCTAAATTTGTGTCACATATTTGACTTTCAAATTTACAACTCCTATGTCTTTCGTTTCCCTTTTTACTTTTGTCCTAATCTTTGTTATCTCTGATACAAAATTAAATGTTTGGTTGATTTGAAACAAAATTGATTTTATTTTAATTAATAATATTTTTAAAATATTTAACTGACTAATTAAAAAACTGTTTGTATATTACAGCTAATTATATACAGTATAATATTTAACTCACATATTCTACTTTTTTGGTAAATTATATAAAAACACACATATTTTTATAATAAACACAATCATCGAATAAAAGTTATTTAATTTTTTGAAATCGATATCTGATAACACAAGGGTTGCTATTAGTTTTAGATCTCATGGGCTATAGGGGGGTAAAAGGCAAAAATCTCAAAAAATCTTTGTATAAGGAGGTATAAGGAGTGTACAGTTTTTATTGCATATATAAACGACAATTTTTAAACAATATTCAAAAAACTACAATTTTGTTAATTTAAAAATTAATGATATTGTAATGTATTTATTATTATGTCTTAAAAAATAATATAAATAATAAGACTAACAACAATTATATATAAATAATTAATCTGGAAATATATCTTTATATACTATTTAATATTGAACACTAATTAACACATTTTATTATAAATTTTAAAAAATATTTATATTAAATTGTATATTAAGTAAAATAAACAAATATTACCAATAATTTATGCCAAAAAATCTGAGTTTTCGACTTTTATATTGAAATATAAAATATTTATTCTTTTATAACGGTCTAAAAAAAAGATTAAATATTTGCATTTTTTTCGGGAAAAATTAGAGGGAATTTATTAATTAACTTTTCTCTTTTGTAGAGATGCCCGAACTCTACAGTTAATATTTATTTTAAATTTTTATTTTTTTATGTTTAAATATAGGAAGAAATTATAGATGGGCCCTAACTATTTAAGGGGTAAGATGGTTTCAATCTGGGGTAATGAGCAGATTACACCCTACCTCCCTATACCAACCCTGGGTAACAAAGTGTACAAATTATACCAAAACAAGCATTTCTCACAAAATAATAATTTTTATTATAAATAAAACTAATTTTAGCTATATATTTATAATAAAATCATTATAAAAATCAATCATTTTTTAAATATATATTTTTTAAATCACTGCTTATAATTAAGTATTAATATTCTTTTTTATTGACCATATTTTTTGTAATTGATTGATTGATTATAAAATTATACAAATTTTATTGATTTATTTCAATATGATGTAAACTCTTTAAAATTTATGCTATCTTTACATAATTTAAATTATAGATATGGTTATAATAAAATAAAAATTTATATAATATACTACAATAATTCCAAAATAAATAACTTTTTAGTAACTTAGAATTTAGTAGCTAATCTATCTTTTTATTAACTTAACTAATAATAATCAATATATTAATAATATTTTTAAATTATATACTTATCTCAATACAACGTTTATAATGTATTTTGATAATAAAAACTTTTGATAAATAAAATCTTAAATTAAGAACAAACTATGAAATAAAACAGATATAAACATAATGTTTATCAAATAAAAAACATCTAAATTTAGTTCAATTTAATGCAATTTTAATGTAACATTTTGTTGTTATATACGTATATTTTATAAACCTATTGTATATCAATTGCTTATATTGTAGTCATTTCTATTTATTTATACCAAATGTAATATAAATTTATTTCTGTTATTAAATCGTGACTTTTAATTAAAAAGTGTATATCTATTATATTAAACAAATCTGTATAAATAAGGTTTTTATTGTATATGCTAATAACTAATATTAAAAAGTAAGTTTTGTCAGGCATTTATATTTAAAAATAAAAATATTTATTTAATTAAATTATTAAATAAATTAAAGTCAAGGTTACAATTGCGTGGATGAAGTTTTCAATATGAAAATTGTTTAAATTGTCAATTGGTTTTGACAGTCACACAATTTCGGACAATACATGTAAAGACCAAAAAACAGTTTAAGGCATAATTATATTGTATGAACTTATTATCAAATATAAATCAAACAATTGTCAAAACTTAATATAAATATAATAATATTGTATTTAAAAAATCATTAATATTTATCTACCAGTTGTCGTCATATTCATAAAAACATGGAATTTGAAGACTTACTCAAACCAGTCGGAGATTTTGGTATTTTTCAAAAACTTTTGATTATATTATTCCTAATTCCGACGTCGGCTTTGAATATATTATACGACTATATGTTTATGTTGGCCACACCTGACCACTGGTGTTATGTGCCACAGTTGGCCAACTTATCACATGATATCCAAAAACAATTAATTAGTATCGAAACTATTGATCAGGGATTAGTATCATATGATAAGTGTTTTATGTATGATATAAACTATGATTTAATTTACAACACAACAAGTTTGTCGTTTAATAATATAACAACTGATGTCAAGACTAAAGAGTGTGACAACGGATGGGTTTACGACAAATCAATGTTTACTTCAACCGCAACCACTCAAGTATAAGATTTTAAATGTTCACTAATTTAATTGTAATCTATTTAATTAATTGTTGTTTTAGTTCAATTTGGTTTGCAATGATGCACATTATGTAAGCTTTTTGTTATCATTAGGAGCCATAGGTCTCGTTATAGTTACTCCAATATTATCATCTTTTACTGATTGGTAAATCATTTATTTTGGTTTTTGTGCCATATATTTGTCAGTTATAATATATATGTATACTCTCTCTCTCTCTCTCTCTCTCTCTCTCTCTCTCTCTCTCTCTCTCTCTCTCTCTCTTATTTTTTATATTTAACAATTTTTATATATTAATATATAGTTACTTTTAATGAATCAATTAATAACAATACTTAGCTTAAATTCATTCTCAGATAATAGTCTATTGGTGTAAATTCTAGACTATTATATACATAACTATTATTTAAGAATATAATTAAATTATATCACGAATTGTTTAATATTAATATTTATTAACAATAACAAGTTATTAAGCATAAAATTAATTGATATTATAATTGAATATATAATAGGATTGGGCGAAAAAAATCATTTTTGGTCGTCAATATAATCATATTATTGTCATTTATATCACCCATTGTTTTGCGCGATTATATCAGTTTTGCAATCTGTCGGTGCATTTGTATGAGTCTTGCAGTTATATACTATCAAATACCGTTTATTATGTGTCAGTATTGTTATTAATGACACAATAGATAATCATTGATTTAACAAATACTGTAAATTGCATTTCAGGCATGGAGTTTGTGGGACCTGACTATCGATCTAAAACATCCAGTCTATCAGCACTGGCCTATTCTGGAGGCAGTTGTTTACTTCCATTAGTTGTCTATTTGACTGGTAATTGGATTTTGTTGGCTGTTTTCCAATTTGTTATTACAATACCTGCGTTTATATTTTGGAGGTTTTTTTTTAATTATTATTATCATAAGCTTTAATTTAAATGTTTGACAAATAAGTTTAATATAAAAAATAATAATAATTAGATATTTACCTGAATCTGCTTCTTGGCTAATAACTCAGGACCGATATGCCGATGCCTACACTGTTTTGCAAAGAGTGGCTAAAATTAATGGAAAAGAGTTACCAAAAGATTATATGAATCAAATTCAAGTATTATTTAAAAATTGCTTAATTAGTAAAGTATTTTATAAAATAATAATTTATTAATTGTTTAAACCAAGAAAGTGGGCCAAAAACAGAAACAAATGAAATCAATGCAATTACATAATGACTCTTATCGTGACTTTCTTCGAGTACCAGAATTAAGAAAACAAACTCTCATTTTAATCCTACTCTTTGTGGCCAATGTGATGGCTTACGCGGGACTGACTTTAAATTCACTTAACTTTCACGGCAATGAATTAATAAACTATTTTTTCATATCATTGGCTGACATACCGGCCCTGTTGTTGGGCTGGTATCTCATTGAAAGCAGACTCGGTCGTCGATGGACTAACACTTCGGCGCTTATGTTGTGCGGCATAACTCTATGTATGCCTATATTTATAGATCCTTCCCATAAGATATTGATAACAATCTTATCAATGATTGGAAAGTCGGGAACCGCTGCTTCTTATATGATTATATTTCAACAATCGGCTGAAGTATTTCCAACAACATTAAGAAGTGAAGGAATGGGTATTTGTTCAACTGTTTCATCATTTGCCGGAATCGGTATTCCCTACATATCATATTTAGTAATATTTTTTTGTATTAATAATTTATCCAAAAATTATATTAATTATAAAATTATTAAAAATAAGGGTAAATATGGACTTTGGATTCCAATGTTTATAATGGGTTTGGCGTGTATTATAGCTGGTGTGGCCTCAAGTTTTTTACCCGAAACACTAAACGAAAATTTACCACAAAATAGTGCCGACACTCAAAAGTTTGGTAAAAATAGCAAATATTTTTCGTTGGCTAAAACCACAATTACAACACATCTCTAATGTAATATATTTGATATTGCATTATATAATACAATATTTAAACAAAACTACTTTAAGAACTTTAAGAGCAAATATCATAAGAATTACTTAATATATTAAGATATGTTTTTTGTTATTATTATTTTAATTAAAATTTTAATAACATTAATTATTATATTAATTTTCAATAAATTTAAAATTTGTATAATTTAAAAAGTTTGCTAGCTTATATTTTCTAAACTATTAGTTGGATTTTTATCAAATAATTTTTATTTTGAAGGAAAACCTCCTCGAAATATATGATAAATAGTTATATTTGAATAGTTTTTAAATTATAAAAAAAATAAATGCAAAAATTACAATCAATAACTTATATATGTTCGCCAGATTGACACTCAAATAGACTCCATTGGTCTAAACATTGATTCAACATAAATCATATTCTAATTTACTGTATATGAATCAATGTCGAGATTTATGGAGTTTACTTGAGTGTCAATTTGGTGAACACTAAAACTATTGATTATAATTTTAATGTAAATTTTTTATTTATTTTTTATATAATTTTAAAACTACTCAAAATAATTATTTAAAAATTTTATTATATATTTCGAATGAGTCTATCTTACAAAATAAAAATTATTTTATAAAAATCCAATTATTGGTTTAGAAAATATAAGTAAAGTTCTTAAAATAGATATATCTGACTACTGTATAATTAATTTTTAAATATAGAAAAAATATTAAATAGTAGTTTTAAACTTTATTATTATATAATTTGTATTATACTATGTTTTTAAGTAGATTTTATTAAGTAAATCATATAGTGAAAAATGTGATGCTTTTAAGTCATTTTTATAAAAAACAAAATTATAATAATTTATTTTTTAAAAACTTATTAATCAATGTTTTAATTGAACGGATCGCCAAAAATGTTTGCTTTCTTGATCGCCACCCGTTAGCATCCATTCACTGTTGAATATATCAGTCAATTTGATTCGGGTATCGGGTTTTGGATCCAACATTTGTCGTACCAAAGCTTGTGCTGAAGAGTTAGACTTTTTGGGGAAATCCAGGCAAGGATTTTGCTTCAGTTCCTGAGTTCTGTTGATTCTATCGCTCAGTTGTAACAGTTGTGAGCCATAGATTCTGAACGGAGAAATTCCGGCCACAAAAATATGCAAAACAACGCCCAGACTGTAGATGTCGGCCATAAATGGATCGTAAGCCGCGTTAAAAATTTCGGGCGCAGCGTATTCAATGGATCCGCAAACAGTATTACATTTGATTGTTTGCGTAAAACGTCCGATCCGTTGGACACCAAATATAGCCATTTCAAGATCTGTAAGCTTTAGCCGAAAAGTATCGCCTTCGGGAAACATAACAACATTGTCGGCTTTGATGTCTCGGTGGGCAATATTGTGGTCGTGAAGCCATTTAACAGCTGACAACAACTGGTCGAACCAATATTTGGCCAAATGATCGTCAATTCGGGTCCATTTGCGGCGTTCAAAGTAAGTTATAAGATCACCGCCAGTGCCCAACTCCATGATCGTAAAGACCCGATTGTTGGTCTCATCTCTAATATTATCAAACACTTTGACAATACATTTGTGCGGATTATCTCTCAAAAAGTCTGTTATCTGTATTTCTCTTTCTAAATATTTTTGTTTCCGTTTGTTTGTAATCTGCAAATACTTAACGGCCACTACCTGTCCACTGGCTGTTCTCGCTTTGAACACTAAGTGATCATAAGAGCTGCCGATATTAGTCATAGTTTCATAGCCTTTGGATTTAAGAAATTGTTTGTCACAATCGCTAAGAACACCGTATTCTTCGTTTTCTTTCATATTTTTGTTTTTAATAAATTTAAAGATAACTTTTGAATTGCTTTTTAAATGTCAAAACATTTAATAAAAAATAATAATAATCTGTAATTAAATTCAAATTACAGTATTTGTATTAATTTAATTATTCTGTTAATTGATATATCGAGCCATACATTGTTGTATATCATATAAGATTTGTCAAATCTTTTATAAAAAATTGTTTTTTTTTAGATTTTACTATTATTTTTATACAGTTTATTTTGTCACTTATTATTCACCAAATCCATAATCTTATAAACATAAATGAATGTTAAAAATAAAATAAAACTATTTTACATAATAAATAAAATACATAGAAAATAATGTAATAATAATAATAATAGTTTATTTAAAAAAAAATCTTTGATATTCTTCAAAATATTTTATAATAGTACATAAATTTAGTCATTGATTAGTTAACAGTGAATTAATATATTGTATATTTATTTCTGTTTATCAATTAAATTTAAAAAAGAAAATAACTAGAATAATGGTAAAAACAATGATAATAATAATAGGCAATGGTATAAACAAAATATAAAATATTTTTTAATTAATTGTTTACATTATGAGATAATATAAATTATTATTAATTTCGATATTTTACAAAATATAAAATTCATTGAAACATATTTATAAATAATTGTTGTTTAAATAATTTCTGTACAAATATCTCGTGAAATTCAAATAAAATTAAATATATAATATTGTAATAGATTTGTGACAAAAATAATCATTAAAACGATATCTTTAAGAAATTTAAATTCTGTTATTACAATATTATAATTACAATTTCACCTATTGTTTAGTAAAATGTTATGACAGTCTCCAGACAAATGAGTTCCCATATAAAAGACAAATCATTTGGAAAATTAGCCAAAACTATACTTAACACACAATTGAATGAAATATGTGTTAATCCATTCATCAATAAAATTCAATTCACAAAATTTGATTATTTAAAGGTTTTATAAAAAACTAGATTTTAAAGTAATTAACATTTTATGACATAATTTATATAATTTATTTGTTTAACAATTAGATCTATGTTTTTGGTTCAATATTATTCTTAGTGAGAATTATTCCAATGTTATTATGTATAGCATTGTCCGCTATTTTAGCCTCAATTTTCTTTCATTTATTAAACTTATTAAGTCTATTACGGATTCCCACAAACACTTTAAGGTATATAAATATATTAAGTAATTATTATTGAAAATGCAATGAATAGAGAATCGCCAGCAAAAAAAAGTCTACAAATATCCAATTAATTTAGTAGTTTTACTGAACCAGAAAAGATAATATAGTTGTGATTTATATTTTATGATTGAATAATGTATTAAAATGAGTGAATTTTTACACTATATTTACAAAACTGCATTTAATCTTAGAAATGACTATTTTATATAAATAAAAATAATAACAATTTTAAATACAATACGATTGAAACTATAGAAAAGTAGCCAATTTTATAGTTTATGGTATTCTTCGTATTTGTTTATTTTTTGGCGGATTTTATTGGATTAAAGTGAGCGACAAAAGTAAGAAAAGTGCTGTAAAACCAAACATTATAGCAATAGCACCGCACACGACATTTTGGGATATGATATCAATGCTTAAACTGGGAATTCCAGCCATTGTCTCCAGAATCGAGAACTCGAGGATCCCTTTCATCGGAAGTCAGTATTATTTGATAACTACTTAACCCATAGTTGTGTGCAATTTTTTTAAAAAAATTTTTTTGATCAGGTATTATAAAACTAAGTGATCCAATATATGTCAATAGAGAAGACAGAGAATCGCGATCTCAAGCAACGAATGATATCAAAGAGAGAGCAATGAAAGGCAAGATTTTGTTGTTCCCGGAGGGCACCTGTATTAATGGCAATACACTGATTCAGTTCAAATTGGGTGCATTTTTACCACAATTGCCGGTACAACCAGTAGTTCTAAAATGGGATAACGGAAGTAATTATTAATTTATAATATATCATAATTAAGTCATTTAGTTAATTGATTGCTATATATATATATATATATATATATATATATATATATATATATATATATATATATATATATATATATATATATTAAGAACACGATCTCAAGTCTTGGGTTGAAGAGGGACCGTCACTATTGAAGATTCTGTACTATTCATTGTCACAGATGTGGATCAACTGCGAGATAATCAAATTAGAGCCATATTTTCCAAATGAAGAAGAAAAACTTAACGCTTCACTCTTTGCAAATAATGTTCAAAAAGTTATGTGCGATGAGTTAGGAGTCATTCAGTCGTTTTATACCTACGATGACGTTATGTTTATGGGCTTTGCGTTAGTCGACACTTAGTTTTAATACTTTTCAAGTTTTCCGATAAATAATTGCAATAAATTTTGTTTAAATAGTAATGAAATTCGACTCTTCCGGAGTCCTGTTTGCATAAAGCTATTAAAAGTTTGCTATAAAATGGCAAAAGAGTCGACTATTGACAGCAATTTCGCTAATTTAAGCAAAAAAATTAAGGCACCAAAGTTTGCGCCCATTTTCCAGAATTTAAATTACTTGGGAATTGGAGAAGATTTTGGTAATTAATTACAAAAATTAATTGACATATTTTTAATGAAATACCAGTTTTACTTAATACAGACCATGGAGTATATGTGCCTGACTTTTATGTGCCAAAAGCATTACTCAATATATCGGGAAAAAAGACAAAATCAAAAAAAGTCATCCAAAAGAAGAGATTGGAGAACGACTCGAATGCAAAACGATTGCCATTGAGTGGAGTCATCCGTAAAGAGTTTGACATCTCTAAGACTGTACCACAGTTTGCACTGACCAGTGATGTGGCACAAGAAAAACGATACGTTTACGAGACTTTCTGCCATAAAATACAGACCTGTATTAATGATATTGAAGTACAGATATAATAAACTATTAATAAACTATTTATTTATTAACTATTTATTAATATATTTTAGAAAAAGGGAGAAATCAGGACAATTGAGTCGACTGAAGATTTGGCACAATTGTTAGGATATGATAAATGTATGTATCATAAGATTCATAGTTTTTTTTAATGAATATTATATTTAATTGATGATTAAAATCATTTAAATGATTTATAGCCTCAAAAATAGTTAAATCGTCGGCTTTTGTTGATTTACTTAAAGCACTTGAATTCTCGACAGTCGACGGACCGACAACTCTTCATTTATTAGCTGTTCTTCATCTCTGCGATTGCAGGTATTATCCAATTATTTTGTCTTTTAGATTAAAATAAATAAATAATATATTTCGCGTTTACAGAGAACCAGATCTTTGGGAACGAATAAGGGCTGCCATAAACTTACTGTCTCTACACATGAAGACATCCAAATCTGATGATAAATTTCGTCCGGAAAGTCCAGAATCCGAAGCGACACTCAATTTGTTGAACTTTAAGACATTGTTGTGGTATTCGCTTGGATTACAACAATTCAACGACAGATTCTTCGTTAAACATGATTTTGATTTTCGTAATTATTTTTTAAACAATTTATTAAATATTTTTAATTACAAACAATATAATAACTAATGTAAATATAGTTTATCTAAATAATATAATTCTATAATAAATTGTTATTTTCAGAGTATATCCGTCAAAATATGAAGCGATTATTCAAACGAGCCGTCGATGAGAACGCACAGTCTCTCGAATAACTCATTCATTATTTTTTATTTTGTATTATTTGTATATAAAAATATAAATATATTTGTAGTCTGTGTTAAAATAAAACTTATTTAAAATATATTTTATATAAAAAAAATAATTGATTGATTGTCTTAATAATTAAATTATTATTATAATATTTTTAAGAAATATCACAAACAATTTGTTACTAATAATATATTAACTGTCGATATCAATGAGTTTTGCTTTACGTTTTAACCACATTTCGCATATCTTTCCAATTTGTGTCTCATTTGAGCGCTTAGAGGCCTCCAGAACTCGTGTTACATCTGTTTCACGATTGTGATGGACAGCCAACAGATAAGCCGACTTTAATTTTCCGCTCAATATATAAGCATCTATTTTGTTGATGTCATTAGAGAGTAGTTTAATCAGTGGTTCAATCAAGAGATGGTCGGCTGCACTACGAATACAGGCGCCGATCACATCATCGCACACTACAGTAGTATCGCCCGAATTTGAGGCACGAATACAATCTAATAATTGTGAGACTGAATCAATTACATTGATTCTTGGAGTCCTCACTAAAGCTCGTCCCGCAAGTCTATATACTTGTGCCGCATCCAAGTTATGGTCCTTAAAATAATAATAATAAAAAAGATTCATTAATATCAATAGAAAATATATGATTTAGTAAACACTAACTTTGATTATCATCTGTGATATACTAAATCCTTCAGCAATTTGAGATCCATAAGAAATGGCAGTCAAAGCGGTTAACTGTACTTTTCTTGCTTTGTTGTGATCAAGAATAGTGGGCGGACTGTGAAATCCAATGTCAAACTCTTTGGCTGAATAGACTTCATTTGGTAAAAATCCTTTAATTCGTCTCTCATTGAAAACATTTGTAATATCTATTTGAAGATTCAAAACTCTAATTTGTTTCATCACTTCTTCCTTTTCCATTATAAGACAACCATTTCTATAGTCATTTGGATTTATACTCAGATAGTCTTTGCAATGTTGTTTAGCTGTATACAAGTGAATCACTCGTAAATTCATTTCCATATAATCGGCTGCCGGAGGACTCAAGAAAAACCAATTGATTTGAGTGATGGCAGCCCGCAAATGATCGCCCATAAACACTTGCAGCACATGTAACACGTGAAACATACTGTTAGAGCTCAGGTACTTGCAGGTGGATAACAGGAATCTCCAGCTATGCTTTAAACCCGAATCGCATGTCTTTAAATCCCTGAGAAATGTCGAGAGAGAGCCTTTGCGAAGGGATACCATAAATAACTCTTTAATAAACATATTCGTCGAACAATTGTTTGCATAATTAAGAAAAGCACGAAACGCTTGTTTCCACATCGAGTTCTTCGAAAAAAATTTGATTGTGTCCTCACTATTACCATATTCTTGCAAATAATACATTATTTCTATAAAAACTTTCGGATTTTTTGTTTGCAAATCATTGTCTTCGTTGTAAAATCTTGAAGAATTTGATCCATCGTTTGGATTGATTTTCCCTTTAGTTATCTGATGACATCGTTCTCGAACTGTACTGTTTGACCAATACTTGCGTTTAGATAAAACTTTCAAAATATTTTCGAGATCTCTATTGCCTTCTGTTGTCTTATTTTTGTCAAATACGAGTTTAAACTTATCTCTCGCTTCTGAATATTGTGAGTGCTTTAGACAAATGAAAGCCCAGGTCTTGAATATGGATCGCAAGTCGAGTCCAAACTTTGTGGCCAAATCGCGGGCCAATTCAAATCTTTCCATTTCGATGAGTCTCTCTTGAAGTTTAATTATGGCGTTATCATTGCTCGACAGTGCAATTGCTATCAAATCTTTAGTAATACAGTTGGAGTTAATTAACATTCGGATTACATCCAAACGATCTAAAAGAAAGTTTAGCTGATCTTTAAGTTCAGGATTTTCTTCGTCGACTGAAATTTTTGTCGACACTAATAGCGATCGAATCATTCCTATAATTAATCCATTGTCCACTTGACTGGAGACTACTGTTTCCAACAATGGTTTACAAATATTATCGACAATCACTTTACAGCACCGATTCTTATCCGAATGCATCCTCAATAAGGTCAGACATACAGAAACACTGGGAGACGAGTCATAATAAAATTCCATCCGAAGTGAATCGTTTTGAATGTCGTCTGTTGTCAGAACCCAAGCCATGGCTCTGTCAGAACTCATGGATTCGCTACTAAAACTTTCTTTTCTATAGAGCTGTTGTGTCTGAACATAACATTCATCACATACTCTAACCGATGAATTGGCATTTATTTCACGAATTAGCAAATTATTTTGAGAACAGTTACCACAAACAACTCGCCCACATCTTCGACAATGATGTCTTCGGTTTAACTGTTGGTTTATTATTAATATTATTATACATGTATTAGCAATAATTAATATAATGGATGACTAATAATATCAAACAAACCATTGAAAACTTTTCAAACTTGCAAATCATACAATGGGTAACATTTGAGTCGGGAATCCATTGGTCTTTAGTTGGAATGCTTTCTGGCATTAAATAAGTCTTCACCGATGAAGACATACTTTTGTTATCAATATATGTCGATGAGATTAGTGTTGCGTCAGATAATACTAAAGATTATATTATATTTAAAAATCAAAATTTATATACAAATAATTATTGCAAACAATTGTTTTATATATACCCGAAGCACCAGTTGATGGCAAGTCATAGATCTGAACCTCAACGGCTTTTTGTGCGTAAATCTCCAGAAGATAATCGAAGTTCAATATCTTCGCCGCTTCTTCTAAGGCCTCATACTCTAAGTTCATAATCATTTGTTCCACAATAAGCATCGGTTTTGTTATAATATTAATGTAATTGTTGTGGACTTTAGGTTCGAGTGATTTGATTAGTTTACTTCCGATTACATAGTCTTCATAGTGTTCGCACAGTCTGACCATTGGATTGGATCTATCGGTGTGATCGTCGAGCAATGAATTTGCCAAAAGTTGCTGTTTAGGTGACGCCCACATCAACGACATTATCGACGACAACGATGGTCGTCGTAAGTCATCACTTGCGCCGCTGGAAGTACTCATATCTCTGGCGGCAAAACGTATGTTATAGAAGAAGAAGAAGTCTTGTAACTCGATGTCTTCATTCAGACCATTCAATTGATTCCATTGGATGACCTAATTGTCTGTGACTTCAGAACTCCATATCTGTGTTAATAAGAGATACTCAATGAGCTGTTCTCGTGTCTGACACCAAAACATTCAGTGATATATCTTCAGTGACAATGAGTTTTACTCTTCGGTAAAGAATAAGTCAAACAAATGTCAGTCAAAAACGTAAAAAACTTTAAATTAAATATTGTTTACACATATTATGTGATACTTTTAATACCCCTTTAATGCCAAACATTGACTCCAAGTATTAAAATAGCGTTACGTTGTTTGTGAACGCAATTGTTTACAATTTTTTTGTTTGATTACAGCGTTTAGTGTTTGAGAAACAAAAACAGCGTTTAATTTGTTTTGTTTGTTATCAACAAAAACAGTGATAACAACAACAACTGCTGAAGACATCGTCAGATTTATTGATCAATTAGTTACCGATTGTAATGACCAAAGTGTGACCAAAACATATATAAGTGTCGGTGTAATCGATGGCACCCGTCATTCAAAGTGCACCCAAACCGGCCAACGAACGACCGAAACGGCCGACAAACGATAGGAGGTTTGTTTGGTCACTTGGTTCGGGTATCACCCGATGTATCACAACTTATGATTGTATTTTTTAGGTCAGAGTTAGTCTGTCGGGTCAAGTATTGCAACCAATTGCCAGACATACCATTTGATCCTAAATTTATAACATATCCATTTGAGTCGAATCGGTATTTATTTCATTTAATCCTATGTTTGGACACCATTTGATGTGTCAATGATTTGTTTGTTTACTTTGTGTTTATTAGGTTTGTCTCCTATAAGCCAACATCTCTGGAGAAGAACTATAAGCACGACCTGTTAACGGAGCATGACTTGGGTGTTACCATTGATTTGATAAATCCCGACACATATACTGCTTCATCCGACGCCAAACTCGCCGAAGAGGATGAAAAACTTCTGGAAGAAGAGTTAAACACTCCGCAGGACTCGAAGCGCTCCCGTTGTCACAATACACTCGTACCATGGCTTAAGAAAACTGAATATATTTCTACAGAATTTAATAGATATGGCGCCAGCAGTGATAAAACTGAGACAAAGTAATTAATTACCGAAATTTATAATTATTATTCTTATTATTAATTTTTATTAATTATTTTAGAGTTGGATATAATGTAAAAAAGAAGATGAAAGAAGAGGCTTTGTATTTGGATCGCGACTCACAGATAATCGCTATTAACAAGACCTTCGAAGCGGCGCAGAAGCCAATTACAGAACATCCGGGCAAACCTGGTCTCACACCCGTAGAAGTGTTGCCCGTATTTCCCGATTTCCAGCTTTGGAAATACCCTTTCGCTCAGGTCATGTTCGATGCAGACCCGGCGCCCATCACTAAAGTCGAAGAGATGTCTCAGGCTATGATCAGAGGTGTTATGGATGAAAGTGGCGAACAATTTGTTGCTTATTTTCTTCCGACTGAAGACACTTTAAACAAGAGAAAAATTGATGAATTAGAGGAAAGAGAATATGAAGAACAACAAGAATATGAGTATGTGATGGCCAGAGAGTATAACTGGAATGTCAAGAATAAAGCGACCAAAGGTTACGAAGAAAACTATTTTTTCATTTGGAGGGATGACATGATTTGTTATAACGAATTGGAAACAAGAGTTCGTTTGAGTAAACGTCGTAAACTGGGATCTGCGCCAAACAACTCGAAATTAGTTGTCAAACATCGGTCACTCAATGAACCAGAGTTTAAGACTCAGGACATACGTATGACTCAATTAGAACCGCCACAAGAAGAAGAGGAACAGATACCGGATAATAAAGATAATAATGCAGAAAATGAAAACGAAAACAATGACGACAACGACCGAAGTGAAGCTCAGGACAAGAATGAAACGCCCAGAAAGAGTCCAACCAGTGCTAAGTCGTCGTCATCGTCGTCGTCCTCTTCATCATCTTCTTCATCAGATTCATCTGACTCGTCGTCATCGAGCGATAGCGATAGTGACGGTGAAGAAGTTCGTCGAAAGACTAAACAAGACGCGGCCGCCATCTTTGGTAGCGGAAGTGATAGTGATTGATATGTCTTGTTTTTGACCCATTTGTGTGCATAAATTATTACTGTATTAAACAATAGTATGTTTACAATAATTTAATTTTTAATCATTTAAATGTAATTCTTATATTAATTTGTTTTTATAATAAAAGTCACATTCGGTATCATAATTACCGATTATTAATTATTTTCAATTTTTTTGTATATTCTATACCATATCTAATATGGTATTTGTATTTTTTATCACAATTATTATAAATATAATTTTGCTTATTTCGCAAATATTATCATTAATTTTTAAATGTTTTTTTTAATGACTAATTTAACTTTAAAATATAATATACAATTATTGTACAATCATTGAAAAGAGTAATATTCTAAATAGTTTTTTGGTTATTACTTATTTTTAGTGTATAATATGCTTATAAGCATAATAAGTTTAATTTAACATGCTAAATGACCTTGTATAAATATTGTTTTAATTTACTATTATTTAATTGCGAATAATAAGTTTGAATTGCAAATTTACATATCAGTAATTAAATATTTTATTATTTTACATAATTTAAATATACAGTGAATTTAATTACATAATTTCAGTAATATGATTATCATTAATGTTATGGATATATTTTGTTTTTTTATTTCATAATTAACAAGTATTATAAAGACAAAAATAGTAAATATTTTTAAAAACTAGCAATAGTCCATTATTTGGTATTTTAGATTCATTGATTTTTGATTTTATAAATCAGTTTAACTAACATGACTAAAATTTTAAAACACAAATGAGAATACTTTATATATATATATACAAAAAATGAAATATGAAATATTACTACTGTATATATTACGGTATTTGTTTGATAATTTCATAACATTTGAATAATTCTATACTAAAATTTTAATGTACATTAATATAATTTATAATAAAAATTATTAGTTGCTCATAATTGATAAATAAAATAATCTCTATATTAAAATATAAGATAAAAATAATTTTATATATTTTTAGTCTAAGTTTAAGTTCAACACTATTATTATATTGATAGTTGAATATCTAGCAAATTGTGGACAAACTTATTATTGTTGTCGGCGGCCATTGAAAATGGATGATATAAGTGATCGTAAATTATTACAATATTGTGCACAGCTTTGTCTGAATGTCGGTGAGTGTCTCTGGTCTTCGAGATAACTGGCCATTGAGTCCTCGCATTCAGCAATAAATTTTTGCATATCAGTCATTGGAAAGCCATTTTGATAATAATCTTTAATTGTCTCGTATGAGTCCATTATAATAGCAATAAATAGACTCAATACCACATAAATGAATAATATTATAAATGAATATAAATATAGACGACTAAACCACCAAATCATTGTTGAGTTAGTATTAGTTATGGCAAATGTGGCGAACAGGTCATCACCATTCATAAGAGCAAACTGTTGTAATAATTAAAAAAAAATATGATAAAATTTTATGATTTGCTAAATTTTCTTAAATTATGCAAATTTACCAAACATTCAGAAGTTGTTGAGATAGTCCTAAACTTGAAATGATAGGGACCTAATACAACCCAACCGCAAAAGCAAAATCCACTAAAAATTAAAAAAATATATAATTTTATCTTTTACTTATTGGTATAAACTATTTTTTTTTTGTGTACAAACCTGTATAGAATAAGAGCACATAATAGAAATCTTAATACATGAGGAAAGGCATGTTTTAATGTAATAATCAATATATTGTATTTATGGAAAAATCCCAAATATCTCAAGAGTCCGCACCAAACTAGAAGATTTCCGACACCTAACAATAGGGAACAGTAGTTATAATGTGATCCATGTAATGAATTTGTCTCCATATTGATCTTTTCAAAGGAACCAGTAATTATAAGAATGTCATTCAATATAATCATTATAATCCACCCGTCGATGAACTGTGAAATGTCTTCAAATGACAATCCTTTGCCAAATTGTTTACGAAAAAAATAGACTGTCTTTGAACGAAGTTTTTGGCCACGAATTAGTGATCGCAAACATAAGAAAAAAGACATTAAACACAACAGTATTACACCGATATTGAGTACTTGACGCTCAATATGTGTCTGCTCTTCATTATCCTTAAGATTACCATCACATTCGTGGCGCAGATTAGTAGACGTCAAAGATATTAACATTTGACCAGAATGTTGACAATTGTCGAACAGTATGTTAACGTTTAGGTCATAACATTCKGGTGCATCATATCTGGACAGACTGTTCAAGTAAATGGTACGTAAGGGTAGTTGAATGGTCAGAGAGACCAGACTGTCAAAAGTGAAATCAAACTTATGTTCTGTCATATAATCTTTGAATCGAAGTTGATTCCAGCGCTCGTCTCCCGGTTCGTACGTATTGTTTATTTCAATACAGTTTTGTTGAATTTTGTTGTCGATATAATAATAATAATTTGATGGTTCCAGTGATGCCTTTGTGTATGTCTTGAAACAAACGTTTAATACAGACATTGGCTGTAGTGTTGCGTTCGGCGTCTGATAACCAAATGATCCGACACTCAGATGTGATATATTTGCAAACCTATGGATCGCGTAATCAATTGAATCAAACAACTCCTGCTTTTCATACAAAGCGTACGGACCGGCGGCCGGTGGGTATGTCATCACCTCTCGTAATGTGTCATAATTTGGCAAAAATAACTTTCGTAATGATGTCACCTATAGATGAAATATTAAGAGATTAGTATACATTAAATACAAAATATGATATGATATACAAAAAAATCAATTAATAGGATTCAGACCACATTAGCTTCGAGTGTCATATAGTCAGACATATCGATACCGAAGACAATCAACTGAATGGTGACGAAAACTATTTTGATTATTTGAAGACATAGTTTGTACGGAAAGCGACCCTTTGCTCGCCATTTATCAATCGGTGACATAAAGTAGTATTTAAGACGACGTCTTAAGCGATCTCTATCGGTGGCCGTCACCCGGCTTTCGGTGGGCGGCATAGAGTTCATGCCCTGTAAGTTGACACTCGATGACGACATAAAGTGCTCGTTATCGCCGTTAATGGCCGTACTATTGGTGGACAAACACTTCTCGATGACATCGATGTCGTCATCGTCGTCCGATTCATTGGCCATCAGTCGGTTGTGTTGGTCATTGTGTGATCTGTTCCGCGAGGAAACCACTGCGTGAACGTTCTCTACGACAGACATTGTCTGACATTTATCTGCTAATTATCACCGAAATAACTGATCATAAGATGTATGACTCAATTATACAAAACTCTATTGTTTACTATTTTACAGCTGTTTATGACTTTTCACTGTAAACACTGTTTTATGTAAACAATATTATTATGTTTTCAAACGTATGATAAAAACATTGGATAATACATAACAAGCGTTATATAAGATATAATATATTGTATTATATTATATATATGTTTGAAACTACTGTTCAGTATTTTATTAATTGATAAGAGATTAAGGAGTTATATATATAATACTGTATATTACTATAAACACTTGAGAAATGAAATTTTATTAAGAGATTTAATATAAAAAAGTAAATTAAATATTTAAAAAAAAAATATTATTCAGACTAAACAATAAGCATTAAATAAAATGATTTTTAATTTGTGCAGATAATTAATTAATTAATTAATTTTTATATAAAATGTGTCAATTGTACACTATTTCTAAATAAATTTGTAAATATATTTGTTAATAATTTATTTTTAAAACTATTGTTTATTTGTGTTACATAATTAAATAGTTATTTGCTGTGATAGATAAACCTACTAAAACAATAACAACCRTAATGTCAATAAAAGTTACTAAAAATACTCTACTGTTATGACAATAAACGGTATAATACGGTATAATAATGTGTAATAAAATTGATGTTTTTATGAAAAATAGTGAAATGAAAAGCAATTACTTGACTATCAATAATAGGATATGACATTAGAAAATAATTTTGCTTTTAATAACCAAATTATTAATTATTTTGCTATTAATAAGTTTGAGTTCATTAATAATAACATTTATATTCTTAAGTATATAAACGCACAGTTAATTTAATAATTTAGTAATTTAAAAATTAACTTTTAAACTACTGTATACAGTATTTTTAACTTTAACATGATCACTTTAGCATAAATTATTATTATATTATTAAGAAACACACTAAATTAAATTAGTTTTGAAATATATACAGTAATTGAAATTTAATTATATAAATAATTGTTTTATACATTAGCTATTTTCATAGGAATTTTAAAGTTATGCATATAATCAAACAATTAAATAAATGTATGGATTACTAATTAAATAAATCATAATAATGTTAATTATTKCTACATATTTATTGGTATATTTAAAAATTGTGTTTATTTACATTAGTAAATTTATCAATTTTTAAAATTTACTGTAATTAAGTTGAAAATGATAAGCATAGCATTGCCAAACAAACTTCTGGACGCTATTTTATAAATTAAAAAAAAATTATTCAATCATAATATGTATAAAAAATTAAATATAAATAATTTAAAATTATAAATTAATTAGAATTTTGCATTTTATTGAAATTTTCATTAAAAGATAATACATTGACATTGGTTTCAAARACATTCATATATAATTTTTTCATAAAATATTTGAATCTAATGTTAACATTTAAAAATCACAGATTGTTTTCTTGTGTGTATAACTAGAGTGACTATAATACATATGATATTTAAAACAAAGTTTGTGAAAATTAAAATTTTATGTTTATTTTGCATATTTCATACTTGTAAATGTTGTTATAAAATAACTAATAAATTTAAAGTTATGTCTGTGGTACAAAAATTATGATATCGTTTATGAAATTTATCAGTAAATTATAGTTATATAATAATAATTACTAATTTTAGTATTATCATTATTATCGCAAGTTATTTAGAAATAAAGTTGAAATAAAATGTCAAACTATCAATTGTCATATAAAAATATATCATTTACTGTATATTCAAAATACGTAAATAATTAAATAAAACATCAAATATTTTTTTAATTTAATTAAATTTATAAAATAAAAATAATTATCTAATGTATAAGTCATAAACATCAAATAATAATTAATATTAGTCGTCAATCTACTTAATCTTAATTAAAACACTATAAAAGTCTAACCTTAATATTTGTAAAGATCACACAACAAATTTTATAATCATTAAAACTATTAAATTTTAAGGAAATTTTCACTAGAAATTCAAAATCAATTAAATTTTGATTAGATATAAACATGTGTTATTATTTTTACAAAAAATAGCTTAATTACTACAGCATATTAATACAGTATAGTAAAGATATTTTGAATGAAAAAAATACCAGAGCATCCAGTTCTTAAAAAAGATATTATATTTATTTAATGATATTTATTTTGTTAAATTATTGATAAATAATAAAAAAGTTTTTAAAAAATATATATGACATAAAATATGATCAATAGTTATAAATTGTTTAATTAGTCGATTAATTGATTGATGTGTCCAACAGTGTAGTGGTATTTAGCCGTTGCCTTCAATTACAATCTATTATACCTCTTATACAGAGCGCTGTTATTATTATTATAATATAAAGACAGTGTTATTATGTCATGTATTACGCAAACTCTCAATGAATTTGAGTGTTGACTGTATTGAGTGTGAAGTAAATGCTAACAGAGAAAGCATTGAATGAATGCATTGAATGAAAGTGTGAATTGTGTTTGAAATATGCATTCAATACAATGTTATATAAAAATAACATTTATATTATATATTTTCAAATTGTAATGTCAAGAGTTAGTATGAGGTTTGCCTTCAATTTGACCAAAAAATAGTGACAATTGATTGACTACTTATATATCTAACACTGTTGGACACTATTGTATGGGTATTGGATGTGACATACAGTGAATTGATAAGCTATTTGATGTGCGGATAGGTATCCATACATACTATCAGTGCAGCAGTTGATCAATGCATTGAACATCACTTTGACAGTGATTTGTGTGAAAAACTAATACATTTTCAATTAAACTCATGTGACTGTCTATTGGTTAGACAACTGTATGACTAATTATAGTGATTGTAATATCAATGAATTATTGATGACAAGTGATGACATATATTGATATCAATTAGTGATGGATTGCAACGATTACAGAGACACCGATGAAACAGTGAGGTCTACCTCAGCGCCCACTTCTCCCACACAACAGTCCCGACAGATCAGCGGATGTCTGACCAGAGGTCAAGGAAAAGGTCACCATAGGGTACAGTTCCCGGAGGACAACTGTATTGTGACCGGTTATTTTGAAGCACCCGATCCCTATCAATATGGTATTAATTCATTCAATTCAATATAACTTAACATATCGTATATACAATGCTAGCAATCATTTTTCAATAGTTTGTTTGTTTGTTATAAAACTGTTTACTTTTTAATGTTTTTAATTGATCTCTTGTTTCAAAACAATTTGTTGAATCACTTGATTTTAAAGTCAATATTATGTCTAAAATATAACCCAATTCTCTATAGACTATCACATACTGTCACCAAATGTCAATATAGAGTATATCGTGTATTAACACTATATTTCATTAAATATAAAATAAAAACTAAAAAATAAAATATTAAAAAACAAATTGTATTGTATTTTGAAATGTGATTTTTAACTAAATATAGTCAGTTTTTTTCTATCTCATTATCCAATATTATTGCAATAAATAGCAATAAAAATATAGAAATTTTGTGATCGATATTCAGTAAACATTTTTGTTAACGATATAAGACTATACAGTACTTGAGTATATTGTAACTTATATACAGTACGTATAAACGTTTAAACAGTATTGAAGAATATTAGTAAATTTTTTGGTGAATTTTGAGTCTTTAAGCCTATTAATTCATTTTTATATACAATGTTTTAATTGTTTGGATATATATAATCATGTTTTATAACTCATTTAATTTTAATACTGTATATAATATAAAAATTAATATACAAACTGTATTATTCAAAGCACTTAGTTTTTAATTTAGACATAAAAATGTGAGTTAAATAATAGATAACAAGAGAGAGAGAGAGAGAGAGAGAGAGAGAGAGAGAGAGAGAGAGAGAGAGAGAGAGAGAGAGAGAGAGATTAARATGATATAAATAATGAAAATAATGTTTACGAGTTTAGATAGCGTATTATTGCTATACATGTATATAAAGTATATTTATTRTATGCAGTTTTGTTGGACTTCAATGTTAATTAGATGTTAACCCGTGTTATCAAAACAATAGCAATACTGATGCCATTAATTAATTAGATAAGTAGTGTGTAGTTAAACCACTTCATTGCATATCATTGATATCGCTATCGTTAGTCTATAGTAAAAATATTGAAATTCATCATTATTAAGTTAAATTACCCATTTCCTTTAGTTATCTAATCATTATTATTTATTTTTTTACAAACACATAGTTATTAATGAATGACACGATTTTATGTTCAAATTATGACAAAATACATATTTTTATTTTTTCTAATTATTAATATAAAATATGTTTTAATGAATATATATATATAATTAAGTTTTTAATGTTTGTATTTTGAATGGGTTTTATGGGTATATACTGTAATATATAACGACAAATCTATAGATCTTTTCAAAAAAATGAGTTTTATGTTTATATTAGAAGATTTTATACTTATCGTAAACTAATTAATTTAATACATTTATAAATTTATATATACAGTATAATATATATTATTATGTATATACTGTATAGTAAATAGAATTGAGCTTAACATCCAATCTTACATAAACTCCTGAATCTAACTGTTTTTATATTAAATAACAGTTGAAAATATTTGCCATGTCTTATAAGAAACACACCCAAGGGGTATACAGGGGGGGTTAGGGGCGTAAGGCAGCTAATTTTCATAGCRGTTTTATTGTCAAATTTGCTTTAAAATTAAATACTTAATAATTAAAAAAGTATAAAATATTTAATAATAATAATAATAATAATTTTATTAAAGTATAATATTTATATTAATTTCTGAAAAAAATGATGAATGACTTACAAGAAAATTGTTATTTTTCAAACATTTCATTATATCATTTGATGCCAACATTTTTTTATTCGGTATTTTAGGTATTTTAAGTAAAACTCAATGTAATAGAAGAGCAATCTTTTTTATCAAAATCCCTCTCTCTCTATATATATATATATATATATACTATATAGTGTATATACATATTAAATATTAATACTTTTTATTTACTTATGTTAACAAGATAACATGATAAGCAAATTGAAATTATACAGATATTTATAWATATTTTGTTATAAATACGTTATTATTTAATTAATTTTTGGTATGTTTAAAATATATTATATAATTGTTTTATAAGTGCAATGTCGATTGTGTATAAAATTAAAATAATAATAATTTAAATACATTAGCAATTTCAAGATCTATAAATAGACTTTTTTATATTTAAATATTATCTTTATATTAAAACATCAGCAATTTTAAATGTTTTTTTAATAGTATTAATATCAATTAAACCAATTTAACTTTATCTAAATTATTATATATTGTACAGTATATATAAATTATTTTGTAATTTATTTATTTATTATATTAAATTATATAATAAACATATTATAATTATAATTTTTAGCTTATTTCAATACAATATATGTACAGTATTGTACAGTATAAATTAGTATTATACTGTTTGTATAYTGAATGCATAWTSTATAATGCATTGTTGATACAAAATGTTTGTTAATTTAGCGTAAATAAATACTAGTATATTAGTATCAATAGTATTAGAGTTTCTAATTAGTAAGATATGTGACAATGTAATATACTATTGTTGTAATACTGTACATAATTTGGCTAAATTTTTTATTCTATACAAATTATATAAATATTTTAATTTTATTTAATTTATATACAGATATAGATATATTAATACAGTGAAATATATAATATATATTGTATTAGTAATTAAGTATATTTTAAATGATTAATATACTGTATTGTACAATATATTAAATACTCTATTTTATTTATATTAATAATATGTGTAACTTTGATTTATATATTTATCTTAATTTATAATATAAACTTTATATATTTGGAGTAATTATTTATATTATAAATACAGTATTTCGTATATCTATATGTTATATACAGGTATTTCTAGTATATAATTTCAAACATTACAGTTATAATATGTCTAGTAACCTATTGTCTAGTGTATATAATTTAATAAATATTCATAAAAACAAAATAGTTTTTATAGCCTTAAGGTTATATAAAAAAATTAAAAATATGTATTGAATAGAATATATGTTTTGATATGAACAGATATAATCTAATTTAATAATTTTATAGACATTTCCCAAATTTATTTTATACAGTAATTTGTTATTGTCTGTGAATGTAATGATAAAAAATTATTATTTACATAATAGACAACAACTGATAGGAAAGAGAGACTTATTTACAAGTATTAGATTTGAAACAATCATAAATTAATTTAAAATAAATAACAATAAAAGTACAATAGATATTCAGTATATAGAATTTGAGATAGTAATAAATAATTTTATTATAATTATCTAAAAAGACAAATATTAAATATTTGCTTAAAATAAAAATATTGTAATTAATTGCTCATAATGTTTAATAATAGAGAATTTTATAAGGTTTATATAAAATTGTTTTGAATTTTTATTAATAGATAATTATTTCTATTTTTTAAGTCATTGATCAAAGTATCGAAACATTATATGATTCATATGTGACGGCGTGTGGCAAACAAAATATTAAACCCATTCCTAGAGTTGTTCAACAGTTAAAGGTATGATTTTTTTTTTGTTTTAATAAAAAGTATACTATAATATATGTAAATTATTTATTATACTTTTAGATATAAAATATATTTAGTTGTTTTTATGCAATATATTATTTATCAATAATATATTTATAGTAATACCAGGAATTATCAATATAAATAAAATGATGAAAGTTTAGAAAATTATTTATAAAATATTACATTACTAATTGTAATATGAGATTAGGAATCAATATATCACATAATAATTTATTTATCGTAACAATACTATATATAATCAAACATATTCTGAAATTTTATTTATATATAATTTTTGATCACATATTTTCTATAAATATTTTAATAAATTGTCTAATATTATAGTTTTAGGTTAAATTGGAAAACAAGAGATTGTTATATCTGATTGTTAATACAGTAGTTTTACTATAATATGATTTTTAAGTTTCTTTTTTATATTTATTGTATTATTAATTTATTAATTTTTATAATTTAAAAATGCATACTAAAGATATTTTTTACAATTAATTAATAAATTAAATTATTAACGACAAAAAATCATCATAAATATCTTATATTTAAACATAAATGATAAAAATATTGATTTTTAGAATTATTTACTTCAGCAATTTTAATTAAGTTTTTAAAATTACATCTGTATAGACATTAATATTATATGAATTATAATAAAATTAAAAGATAAATATAACAATAAAAATAATGTAATTAGAGTCATTACAGTCATTTTTTGAATACTTAAAATTATATTTATTTATTTAACAGAAATTTAAATGTAACCAAATTAGAGGACAGGATCTCATCCTCAAAGGTAATGTAATATTTATGTTTATAAAACTGACAAACACTTGTTTTTATGTTTAAAAAACACAAAATTATCATATAATGTTAAAAATCGTTTTACTATATGATTTAGTTTATCACTGCATTAATCTTTAAATGTCTCATATAGTTAATGTATTTCATTATACAGCACATAATTTACTGTACTTTATTGTACATACAGTACATATAGTGGTAGTGCATATGCAGTACTATACTGTATACTATAACAGAATATTCTGTATCTTTAAATAGACACTCTGTTACACAATATCTTGTGTGATAAATAGTATATACATTATAAATATGCAAAATATTTGCAAAAAAGCATTGTATGTTAATATTAATAATAAAATATATAAAATAATTTAAAATTTAAATTATTATACACATGAATACATAAATAATTTTTTATTAAATTATTATATTAAATAACTTAAATTCTGGTACTATTTATAGCAAAAAATTAACGAAATATATTTGATTTGATTGTTTACGTAAGCAAATCACTAGAATAGGAAAATTCAACTAAAATATTAGCCAAAATTTTTATATTAAATACATTTTTACTGCTTTTCATTGTATTATAAATAAATTATATCAGTTATTGATTAGCATATTTTACTACTTGTGACCATTGGTTACCTGTCAATTTCATTAATAATATATTATTATTATTATTAATCTAACAAACCATTAACAAATTATACTGTAATTGATTTATATGACAAAATAAAAAATATTGCCATTCATATTTAATACTGAATAATAAACAAATCTCATAAATCATTTTATCTGACAAATTAAAAAAAATACAAACGTTTATTAAAGAAAACACATTTTAATTAAATATTTACTTAGATAACAATTTTAAAAAAATAGATTTTTGACAAATAAATATTTGAATAAATTGTGTTTACATAAGAAATATTAAATACTGTATAATAATAATACAGTTATATAATGACAAAAAAATGTAAATCAGGTGAACGTCTTGACTATCGACACTGTGAAGCGTTAGAAGAGATACTAAAGAGAGTTATGTTTCGTAAAATCGATTTGGATTCGTGTGATTTGGATGGAGAGGTATGTCTACTCTACTAATATTAGTAACTAATTAGTAAATCAAAATAGAAAAATATTAGCCGATAAAAGACAGTAATAATAATAATAGCATTATATTTGGTCCAATTATGTTGAATGTTGTTTTTCTTTTGATTATAGGGTGCCTCAGCTTTATTTGATATGATTGAGTTTTACGAGTCGGCATCGCATCTATGTCTGGCAAACAATAAGTCCATTGGTGTGATGGGATGGCAGGCATTGTGTCGGACATTGAAAAAAGTATTATTACTTTATTTTTTTTAAATGATATTTCTGATGACAACGTCTTATACATTAAAATTGATTGATTTATTTATTTTTTGTATTCAGACTTCATGTCTTCAATTTCTCAATCTAAGCAATACTGGTCTTAATGAACAAATTCTTCTGATTATGGGTCGGGCTATGCGTTTGGGTTCACATTTAGTGACCATTTATTTGGAAAACTCAGGATTATATGGCAGAAGACTTGCTATATTAGGTAATTACTAGTTTTATTGAACGTATAATAATATATTTGAGTTATAAATCATTAATCATATGATCAGTGGCCGCACTGAAGTTAAATACTAATCTTCGTGAACTGTATTTGGGAGACAATAAGATCTGTTCAGCAGATGGCGTCCAAATTGGAAATCTTCTTCGAGCTAATTCTTGTCTCGATATTCTTGACTTAAGACGGAATCACATCCAAGACATTGGCGTCGACCACATATGTGAGGGTCTCTCTCATCAGTGCTACGGAGGGTTAAAGATATTAAATCTGAGCGATAATCAAATAACGAGTCGTCCAATGAATCATTTATCACAATCACTGGTTATTATATTTATTTATTCAATTATTTATCTTTTAAGAAAAATAAATTATTTATATTAAATAATTTTATTTAATGTTTAGATTCAGTGCCGATCTCTGATAGGATTAGACCTATCGTACAACGGATTATCTAATGACGGGATTTCCATATTAAAAGAAGGACTCATTTCATGCAAAGAACTTAAATATTTAAATCTAAGGGCAGATAATATTAACTGTGAGGGTAAGGATCAATACATTATATTTTATTAATGGTATTATTATCTTTAAAAATATTATTATTTAATTATTACTGTAATTATTAGGAGCCATTACTATTTCACAAGTTATTGAAATTAATGAAAAATTAATAATTGTTGATTTAAGTGATAATCAAATTCAAATTACTGGTCTTAAAGCTTTATGTTCAGCGATTAAATTAAATAAACGAATTGTTTCACTAAAATTATCTCAATATCTTAAATGTAATGATAATGATGAAGACGAACAACAAATTGAAAAACAATATAATGATTTGTTGACTGAATTGAATGACTATTGTTTGCAAAATAAGACAAATACCGTTTACGAAGAGCCAAATGAATTGCTAGAATCGGTAAAAATTTGTTAATAAATTTTTGAAAACAAAAAATTTAATTTAATTATTAAATTGTTTATTAAGTACTTGGAATCTCATAGCGAAAGTGATTTAACTGATGATGTGTTTAATGATATAAGTGACCAATTATTAGATGACGATTCAAGACTTAATGATAATGAGAGTCGACCGGATGTTATATCAGATGTTATGAATGGATCAAATGGCTATTCATTTAGTAAACCAGATATAGTTTCAATGCAAGAAAACCTAACTCATAGCCATCATAAGCCAATTGCCAGAACTGTTAGTTTAGGCTCCTGTGGCTCGTCATACGATTCATATCGACAGTCCGGTCGGTTTAGTGTTTCACCAGTAAATTTAGATTCAGATTCACTACAAGAACAAGTGCCGCAATTAGATATAACTCCGGATGAAATGCCAATACAAACAAATAATGAGTTAAACACAGACAACAATAATCAGATAACTAGTGAATTAAATGAAACAAATGATCAGTTAATGGATTTGCCAAAAAAGATGTCTAAAAATCAATTTCTAAGTCCAGAATCGCCGTATAATAAGAATATTAGACGAATGAGTTCTCCAAACTTATCGCAAACCAATCCAAATACCAAACCCAAAGTCCGATCCATAAATCTATTTAAAAGTTATACTCATTTGGAAAGTCTTGACCTCAAAAGTTCACTTCCTATTTCACCCACATTTTTTGGCCGATTTGGTATTACATATAAATTTATATTATATATTATTAAATATATAAATTATGATTATTTATAATATTTGTTTTCTTAAACAGAATTTCCCGATCCTTTACTACTGAGATTACCGCCAGAAGTCGATGATATTATAGCTAAGTTTGGCGACTGTGAGTCCAGTCCTGTCCAAGTTATCTAAATATTTGACATCAAAATTATAGTTTACTATCGCTAACAAAATTGGACAATAATTTGTGTGCGATTTTTAGAAATAATATAAACTTGAGTGATAATTGTGATTAATATAACAATATATAAATATGTGTATTAAAAACTTAAACTAAATTATTATATATAGATCTAAATTACTAAATATATTTTTAACAGTTATTATCAGATATGTTTGTATTTTCATCTGAATTATTAAACTATAAGTACAGTATATAAGATTGTATTTACACGTATTAAATGTTATATAATATTACTGTATATAATATATAAAATTTTATTTGTCAAAATTATATATTTTTAGTTTTGAAATATTTTTAGTATATTAAAAATATATGATACAAAATTAAGCAACGTGATAATACAATTCCATATTTTATATTTATTGTTTCTAAAATGATTATCATTAATTATTTACTGTTTTTACGTTGTTTAATATCAATTTACGGTAGTTTACAAAAATACGGTATATTTTATTTGTTAAGTTGTATTCAATTTGTATGTAATTTGTCTCAATTTGTTAGTAAAATTTAATAATAATATAGTATTATTATTATGTGTATACTATTTCAAATAGATTATTTAAGTATACTGTACAGTAATATTACGATTTACAATATAAATATTAAGATAAATTATCAATTTAATGGGATTATATAATTGAATACTACAGTACTTAACAACTTACATATAATAATTATTATTGCATGTACTATATATATACTGTATATACAGTAAGTTATAATATATCAAATAATCGTAACTATTAAGGATTAAATTATATATATATATAGGTATTATATTATATTTAAAAAATTATGATGAGTTAAGACTGTGTAAAATTAGAAAATAATTTTGATAAATAATTACAGTATAATAATACCATTTATGATATAGTGATACAATTGCACAAACGTAATAACAAAGTCCATCATTTCGTGTCCAAAAACAATTGAAAAATAAATATTTAAATACAATTAAGTGACAACAAATAGTTATGTTATAAATTTAAAACATGTTGTTAACATTCCTGAAAGTTTATGCAAAATTTTATAAATAAACAAATAAAATTATATCTAACAATTATATACAGTACTGTTTATTAGTTTTAGTATATTTGTTGTTTAATATACTGTAATTTTTAATTCACTGGTTATTAAAATTAAGTAACCCTATTTAATTAGTTATTTTAGTTAGTATTTACCAATTTAGTTATAAATAACAAATTATATAAAAATTGACTAGGTACAATATTAATTGCCTAAAATCTAATTACAAGTACCAAAATTCAAAAAAATCTATATTAAAATGCTTTATTTATTAATAACGCACAAATATCATAATTAGATATTAAGGATATTATTATTGAAATTAATTGTATTAATTAATAAACCATTGAGTTAATTTATGCAATAAAATATTTCATTTTATCACAAACCAAATTTGTAACAAAAATTTATTTATAATAATTATTCAATAAACACATTATCAGTAATTACCGTATATGAAAATTTTGTTATCAATTTATTTATTTATAATTTATTAAAATAATACATTAAATTATAATAACGGTTATGTGATATTTCGTGAGGTATAGTGTAAGAAGCGATGCGATTATTTTGTTTTTGATATAGTCCTAAAAATTATTTAAAAAAATTAATAATAATAATAATAATAATATTTATTTAGTATAATAAAGATAACTGACTGAAGTGTCTTTTGTCCGCCGGTAAGCACTAAATAAGGCGTTTGTAACTCTTTTTGCTTTTCGGTTAACATTTTTAATGTATTCAATGGAGTATCAGTTGAACTCATTTGTTGTAATTTCTATTAATAAATTAAATTTAGTTAATAAAACATTTACTTACGTTTGATATAAATAATTGATAAAAAACACATACACTTATCTGTTCCTTCTTTTTCATGCGTTTATCGATTTTATTTTTTGAGGGACCCTTTCCATGAAATTTGTGCGACAAATGTCTGAACGCCTCTTTCTGGTCGAGAACTCTGCCCTTTTCGTCGACGTAATCCAATTTGATTTCTGGCTTATAATCGGATTTTTCTCTAAACTCAGAAACTGGTCCTGAATATCGTTCCCTTCGTCCTATTTTATCGTCTTCACTGTTTGTGAAAAATCAATAACATTAACATTAAAAATGTATTATAAAATACAAAACTTACTAAAATTTCTCTTCAATTGTATACGACTGGGCTTCTAGTACTGCCTTTTGTCGCGAAGAACTTCCATGTTTGTTGACTTCTTTATCGAGATATCCCTTTTTCATCGCTAACTTGAGTGCCCCGACTAAGCCTTTAGTGACATCTGGTTCTTCTTCAAGAATAGGTTGGCCTTCAGTTTCTTCGAACTCGTTGGCCACGTCTTGTTCACTGACTTCCACTTCATTCCATTTGCCTCTAATAGTAGTGTCGTATTCAGTATTGAGAACTTCATTCACTTCTTCTGGTTCCATGAGTTCCATAAGTTCTTCGTCATCATCTCTATTACCTGCGAGACCATAGGTAGGAATGTCACCTAAATTGCGGCAAAACTCTGCCGTAGAATTCAATATAATATTAGAGGAAGAAACAGAAGGAACATCGATGTCATCGTTTAAATTTTCATTTAATCTTTTAACAGTTTCGGCCACTTTGGCAATACTGGCGGCACCAGTGGTCGACTCGGCGTCAAATCTTTGCTTTAATTTTCGTGACTTATGTAAAGCCATCTGTAGTTCTTTATCTGCTTCATCTTCTTCTATGATGACATCACTTAAGTCTTGATTTGAAGGATCAAACACATCTTCATCGATGTCCATATTATCAAAATTAAGACCTCCTTTTGAACGAACCTCTTGTTTAAGATTCGGATTTCCATTATTAATATCGCTTACATGAGGTTTGACATCAATTTCATCGCTTTGATGTCTTTTTCGGCTCTTTCTGGATCCGTGATCAATACTCTGTGTCAGATCAGTAAACAAGTTTTCATTTATATCTTTTGATGTATCGGTCTTTTTGCGCAAAACCTTTCGTATTTTTTTTGGTTTCTTAAATTTAATCATTTCTTCTTCAGTAAAGTATTCGCTGGCAATCTTTGGTTTTGATGTAAACAATGTAATCTTTCCCTCTTCTTGTTTCAGTTTCATTCTAATCAATTCGATATCATTTGCCTTTTTCTCAGCACTAATACCCAATTTAAACGACTCTTTTTTAGGTCCTTCCAGTTCTTCATCATATTTCGAAAGCAATGACTTAGTCTTAAGTATACCGAACTCATCCAACTCTGGCTCGTCGTATGGTTTATAATCGGGTCGTTTCAACTTATTTTCAATATTTTTATTGGCCTTTTCGTCGTCTACTAAATTCACATTCTCTAAGACATCGTCGTCTTCAGCCAACACGTCATTATCTTTAAGCGTTAAAATCAATTGATGTCCCTCTTTGAATGAGTCAACTTTATGTCCAACTGTAAGACCGGTTAAATTTTTGCCAGAATAAGCATTTGCTTTCTTTCGTATCAATTCCTCATTAATAATCGACTTCACACCAAACTCTTCATCCATTTCCTCCAATAGTTTGGCTCTTTGTTGAGCCCTTTCTTTTTCTTCTTCCAGTTTGCGAGTCTTGATAACCCAAGCACTTGTATTGTCGATCTCGTCGTCACTTTCACCCAAAGACTTGACATTTTTCAGTTTCTGGACCATCTTTCGCTTATTCCTCTGCGTCTCAATCTTTTCCCTAATCTTTTCCGCTTCTATTTTATCGCTAATCTTCTCTGTCTTAATAAATACCTCTTCGGTCTTCAACGGCTCTATTCTCAACTCATTTGATTTATCTTTGTTGTTGTCACCACTCGATCCCACATCTAAGGGCTTTAAACCCAATTTCGCTCTTAATTTACTGTTAAATAAATATCAAATATTTAGTCAATAAATCAAATGATAAGTTGTTTGTCAATCACTTACTTTGTCTCTTCAATTGAAAGAGATTCTGTATTTGAGCCTTCAGTTTGCAAATTATCTACAAATTAAATCAAAATAAAGACATTAATAAACAAATATTTAGTTTAAAGAAGACATTAATTGTCAAACAAACTAACCATCTTTGCTGTGATGACCATCCCTTCTGTGACTTTTGTCGCTCCCATCGGAGCTCTTTGGATCTAATTTAGTAGTTTTGTTAACTGAAGAGTTACTAGTTTTCTCTCTATCTTTAACTTCCTTTACCTTTAATTTCTTATCATTTCTATCGACCCGTTCCTCATCAGAGGTGGTGTCAGTTCTCAGTCTTTTTCGTGATCCGGAGGCCGAAGTCGTCGCGGACTCKCGTTCTTTGTGTCTGCGGTCAGATGACCGATGATTTCGATCACTTTTATCGGTTCTGTCCCTCGACTTAGACCGCGACCGATGTCTGCGCGAAGAACCCATGGATTATCACTTGATTTTTGTTTGTCTATTGTTTTGATTCCCAAAAATCTATTGTCGTTTCAAAGCCGACTCTTCGTTTACAATCTATGGGTCATTTGTAACAAACGTTACGACAATCACTAAGTGTTGTTCCCTTTGAGAATCAAACACAACATTTAAATACTGTTTGAGTCAACACTTTTAGCCCTCAAATACTTAACAATATTTGTGAACAAATTGTATGACTGATTAGTATTTGTCATTAGAGGGCAATAGTGTTGACAATAGTGTTGTTTATTTGGATTCAAAACACGTGTGATTTGGACACAGATTTTCCAGTAAAAGACTTACTCTTAAATTAATGACTAATTAATTATTTGGTGGATCAGCTCATTGATAATAATGTCAAACAAGACAAAGAAACCGATTAAAGTCAGTAAAAATCGAAAGAAGTCGTGGCGTAAACACTGTCCCGTAGAAGATATCGAGGAATATCTTGAAAACGATCGCTTCAATGAAAGAATTGGGTTTTGTTTTGAATATTCATTTAATCATATCTTAAAGTTGTTTCGTATTCAATGTCTTTGTATTATTTATTAAATAGCGGATCCATTGCTGACAAATCGGATGATAGTTTGTTTGTTATCGAGAAGACAGTCACAAACAATGTCAACAAAAAAGATACCAAAGAAGTTAAAGCAAAGCCGACAAAAATTACGAAAAGACCGTCAAAACTGAAAGAAATTCAATCAAATCTCAAATTATTTAAATTACTTGAATCACAGTCTAAAGTGAAGCCAATTCCGTCCAGAATTGGGTCGAAAAATGTTAAGAAAAATTTTCTTAACGACGACAAGAAATTTGCCAAATTATGGCCACAAAAGAAATTACAATTTCTAAGATTAGATCAGAAGAGAGAGAAACAAAAATTAATTAAAAAAGATCCAAAATTACGGTTTGAAGTCTACGACATGTGGGATAATTGCCAACAAAGGAYAGATCTAATAGATGAAGATATGAAAGAATTAATTGATTACCAAGAAGTACTTAAAGGCAGTAAACCACCGAAAGTACCGAAACATCACAACCAAAAGCTGACATTATTGCCATCAATTGAAGTACCAGAATCTGGACAATCATATAATCCGGATCATGAATCACATCAAAAGCTATTAAAGAAGGCTTTTGATGTGGAGGTCAATAAAGTCAATGAAGAAAAACGTTTGAAACGATTGGTTGAGAACTACTATGTAAGCAAAGCAGAGGCACCTAATGATCGTTCGTATGTTAATGAGATGTCACATGGATTAGGTCTCAGTGATAATGAGGACAAAGAAGATGAAGAAGACGATAATGAACTCAATGAATCAATACAACTCATTGGTAGGTCCGACCGTAAGAAGACAAAAGCTCAGAGAAATAAAGAATTATTGCAAAAACAATTAAAATTAAAGAAACAGTTAGACAAAGAAGAAAAATTTAAAGCAAATGATATCTTTAGATTGAAAACATTTATAAAACAATTGAAGAGAAAGGAAAAGGAATCACAAGAGAAACAAAAGCGCCGAACGGATAGAGAAAAGTCTAAACTTTTGGGACCCAAACGGTTGAGTCGTCATAAATATGAAAAACCAGATATAGAGCTAAATCTGACCAATGAATTAACCGGTTCTTTGCGTACAATTAAAACTGAAGGAAATATATTAGAGGATAGGTTTAAGAGTTTTCAACGAAGAAATATCATCGAAACAAGAGTTAGACAAGCATTCAAACGACGCTATAAAATGAAGAAATATACTAAAAAGTCATCTCAGGATCCAATTGTCTAATTGTTTTGTTATATTTTTTGCATAATTTAATTTCAAAGTGATATATATATATATACTATATATATGTATTATCCGTATAAATGATTGCAAACAAAAAATAACAGAAAAAGTACATAAAAATTTGTTCAATTGTGCGAAACATAAAATATTTTTTATTAAATAAAATAAAAATATCTTTTTTATGGTTATGTATTAAACTAAAAGCAATTTGTCTAATACTGTGAATGTGTGGGAGTGAGAGAGAGAGAGAGAGAGAGAGAGAGAGAGAGGATAGCATTGAATGAGTTGACTGTTATTTAAAGTCCTTTTAAATAAAAAAAAATTTGGAATATATTTGTTGGTAAATAACGACTGTTTAGGGGATTGATTGCCGACAATTGAAATGCATATAAAATTGATTGATATTTATTATACATTATTTATGGTTACAAAATCACATGTCAAATGAAATGTCGCTTTTGATTACAGTATTTATTATTAATACAGAAAACTATTGGAGATATAATACGATATGTTTTTCATGTAAACACTAAATATATTTATTAAATGAATGTTACGTTAAAATAGGATTTAAATTTAAAAATAATTTAATAATTTTGTTTTGCATCACATTATTACTTAAATAACGTTATATAACATGTGTTTACGTGTTTTAGATTATCAATACGTTTTGCATTTGACTTAATTGTTACCATAATTTTATAAACTTTTGTAAATTATAATAAATGTTTTAATGTAAATAAATATTTTTGGTATATTTTTATTTATTGAATAGTTTTAAAAATTATTTTTAAAATAACTAAATAACAAAGTGATTGTGTGATAATAATAATAAATAACATGTTTGTTATATTTGGCCAAAAAAAATAAGTAATAATAGATGTGTTGACAACAAATATATAAATAGTTTTGTTTGAAAAATAAGTTAATGTTTATTAAATATATAATATAAATAATAATTAAAAATTGTTGTCAAATGTTAATGTGATTGTATTGTATGATAATATATATATATAAGCGATGAGTTCGGTGTGGAAACGGTTACAACGGGTCAACAAAAGGGCCGCAAAGTTCCGATTTGTGGCCGCTTTTCATGAACTGGTAGTCGAGGCCAACAGCAAATGGTACGCCCTTTGAATAACGCCAAGTGCTGCCAAACTGACAGCCAATCCTATGACTAATTATAAATAAATACATTTTCATTAATTTGTTTTTCATTTAATTTGCTATTTATTTGTTTTTATTATTATATTTTTAATTTTGAAATTCATTAATGTTATGGTTTTTCACTTCCCATGTCATATGATATGCACTATTATTACACTACTGTATAGTTGTATAATATATTAACTAATTTATAGTCAAACATAAAAAAGTCTTACAAATATATATATACTCGAAAAACTCAAACATTAAATATATGACAACTATTACTGTATATTCAAACACACACTCTTGAGGGACAGTTGGTTTGGGGGTCACACTGTTAGACTAAAGGGATCGCCACATAGGTTGCCATCAGTTACTATCTATTTTGGATCAAAAACTAAAGATAGACACAATATATTAACTCTTTTATTATAAGTTTTTATGGCATTTATATGGCAACTCTTTGATAGACATCTAATAATAATTAAATTTTTAGTGTTATACTCTTTTTTGTTTAATTATATAAAACTGTTATGACTTGCATTGCTATGGTTGTAATGACTCCCCCGATCCCATGTCTGGCCAATAGTTCTACATATAAGTGAAATTTATGTTCAATATATACGAGTCTTTTATGTCTACACTACATGTCTTTACTTAGCTTTTAATACCTTTTCCAGAAGCAAATGGTTATACCTTTAGGAGTGAGAGTCTATAATAAAAATAGTTAAGTAGACTATAGTGCTGGCACTGGACTATTGATTAGGTGTGGCCACACATTAGGCTTAATCTATAGAATGCTTAATTGAATTGTGTGTCCGCATTCATAAGTCTTAAACTATTGAATACAAACTAATCAAATTGAGTTTAATTGAATTATTTTGTGATAATTGTAATAAAATGCAAATTTTAATGTCAATTATATGCAATTTTATGTGCATTTAATGGTTTATACAAAAAGCAGAAGAATCTATTGATAGGAATAAATGCTTTCGTCGACCAAAAGTATAATATAATAACTAAGCGATGGATGCCTTATGTCTGGGTTCGCACACAAATTCATCACTTTTAGTAAACATTTCTTGAGCTCAGATATATCAGTAAACTACCGGCGCTTATATTACATATTCGGTCGATAGTAGCTCTCGTTTCATATATAAATTTATATATAGTATAACTTTAGATACAAACTAAGAGACAGAATCGCTGAATACAAGTAGTCAATAGAGTGTGTAATATACAGAATATTATAAGAAATATAAGGAATTCAATGACAGAATAGACAATAAACTACTGTATACTGTATTAACCAATAACGTGATTGAGTGCATGTGTTGGTCAATAAAGTAGCAAAAAATGTATATTACATGATATATCACATGAACGACAAATCAAATATTTTAATTATGCTTATAGTGAATGCACGCTATGTTTACACTAAATGAATTGCGCTTTAAGGGTCCTAATAATTTTCACTATATTATCATTACAACTATATAGTAAATTTATATACTGTAAGTTTATTTGAGGTGAGATAGTATGCCTAACAAACATACAGATAGAGTGAACAGTTAGATTGAAAGCACTGACAGGTCTGAAACATAGAGAGAGAGAGAGAGAGAGAGAGAGACGGCAAAAGAAAACATTACTTTTAATTTCAATTCTTTTGGGGCACCGTTTGGTTTGGGAATTAAGTGTATATAAAAAGCAATTACTTGTTTTCAATTTGGATGTCGACCTCTACTATATCTAAGACAAAAATTCTCTCTTTTGGTAATAAAGAAGCGCTTCTTGTGGTCTCTCTTTTGCTTTTTATGTTTCTTATATTATATTATATATATCTTATAACAACATCCCTCTAATATATGTAATACTTTTTTGTATCGATTTTTTATTTTTTTCAATCTCTTGTCTATATATATATGAAAGCCTGTGTTTCTATATGTCTGCGACTAACAGCTAAAACTAATGCTTATAAATAGTTTAACACAAGAATTGACCAAATATTGAATGATTGTATTTTAGGCAACCAAACAAATTATGTATAGTTTTGACGCGAAGGAATCGTCGATATTCAACACATCCCAAGACATGGGAACCGACTCTACGTAATCCATATCGTGGTTTAGTCATCTGGTCGATACCAGAGCTTTTAGAAGTAGAGGTGACATTATTTCGTGACCAAAGATCAAGTGAATATGAAATTAAAGAGTGGATTCTAGCCATTGAAGACGTGGCACCAAATGGTCGTCGAAGGAAAGTAGCATTTGCACCGTTAGAGTTAAGCAAATATGTGGACGGAGTTAACACTGTGCCCACTGAACATCAGGTCATCAAATTGCCATTACGTGAGTGCTCTGTCAGGAAAGTGACTGAATCTCACACGACATTCACAATCACATCCCAATTCATAAGAGAAGGAAAGGCGACGTAAGGAAAACCCTTTTTAGCTTTTGTTTAAACTATATATTTGTAAATAAAAGTGCTTTTTCTTGATATTCATGCAATAGTTTTAACATATATAAGCTTTTTATTTTGAGGACAATCACCCCAAACTTTTTCATTGTATTTAGAGCATACAATACATTGAATAAACGTTACAATTGATAAATTTCTTGTTAATCAATAGCAATGTTAATGTCAGATATCGATTGAATATTTTATAAGCAAACTGTTATACTGTATATAACTAAACATAGAAAATATAATATACAATTGTAGTTGTCTTTATATAAGTACTTATAAATAAATAGCAGTTTATTTTCAGACCAATTATCTCCGGAAAACGATATAATAATTTAATTTATTAATGATTTGCTTTTCCGGTAATTAAGTTGCGATCCAATTGTTTGTCTAATTGTGTGTTACTATTAGTATTAGTATTGGATTGCAAATAGAAAATAGCTCTACAAATGATGTTTATGTTTGCAATGAATGTTTGCTTAATTTGACTGCAAAACAACAAAACTTGAAGCACTTAAATGTATTGTATAATAAATACAATATATAAATATAAACTCATAAATATTCATACAATTAGTCTTTATGTGTGTTTTGTGTGTATTTGTTGACACTTCTTAAATGTTTTACATAATTGATTGCTTCGCAAACTATCTCTTAAATACAATTTTTCATATAATACTTCTGAAAACATTGTTTAAAATCATTAATTATATATTTAATTGAAAAATCCATTAAAATTGATGCCATTTTGTTATACATAGTATTAGTTGTATAATATTATATAACTTATATTTAGTGAAAAGCATTTTTCTATTCAATTCAATCACTAGAGAGATATCACGAGATATCTCTGGCACTCAAACTCATCGCTGACTTAGTATATATTAAATCGATTTTTGCGATTAAAATCCAGAGATAGACAACACATATGTGTGCCTTAAATAGCATTTCCTTTAGATTTATAGATTTTCCTGATTTATGTCGGAAATCTTCAGAGAAAGACCTATTGAATCGACAACTCATGTATTGGTCATCACTCCTGTGTCCAAAAAATAACATTGACTTTACTTTTTAAAATAAGAAATATATTTTTATGTGTCAAACATAAGTTATCCATTGAATTATAGTGACGATTGTAAAAATTTAACACTAAACAGATAGTGAGACATATTATAAATGTGTTATATATATATATATATTAAATATATTACTGTAATATAAGAAACCACTTAACATAAGTAAATATTTTTAAGGAAATGACATTACATTACATAACATTTATAACTATTTATTATTCTTTTATCTATTTTCCTTCGAGTGCTTATAAAATTGATTTAACATTTGATTTGAGCTGAAAAGCTATCAGTAATTTTGTAGTTTTTACTCAGTTTATTGATTTTTTAAATAAAAAATCATATTATTAATATATTTTATATAATTTTTCTAATTTTTTATTTATTTGTTAAATTCAGAGCATATTTGTTGTGTTGAATGGAAATATAAAAAATATTTATTTCATTAGCACTTTTTCATTGAAGCGAATCTAAACGTTTTATTTTATCGCAATTGTTGAAAGTTTATAGCATATCACACATGAAATGCTAAAATATAAGAACAACACCAAAATATATAAACCAAAATACAATTATTTTCAAAATAGTCGGCACAGTTTTAATATATATATATATATATATATATATATATATATATAGTGAGCAATATTTTTACAACTTTGCATTTTCTAACAATATTTAATTATATTATGTAACTAAACACCGGTATATAGGGACAAGTAGATGCCATATTTTAAAAACTATAAAATGTATATCAAATTATGAGATATTCATCAAATGGTTAATAAAATAAAAATTATAATTGCAAACTATTGGTATATTTTGCTTAATATCTAGTAAACAATATAACATTATACATGTAATAAGCAATTTTTAATAATTTAATTTGTAATAATACAATTTGTGAATAAACTAAATAACTTTAAGTAAATTGTCAAAATATATATAGAAACATTTCTATTTGAATCAAGTACAATTTTTTATTAAATGGATTTGATTTGAAAAATAGATAATTAGAGACAAATATTTGCTATCCGATGATTAGTCACATAAAAGTTCACTATAGCATCAAATGTTGTCAGAAAATCTATTATTTATTAAAATATTTCAGCGAAATAAGTCAATTAATTTAATAAACATTTAGCCAAAAAACTAGTGCCAGCTATTTTGACAAATGATTTTATACTGTATATATGTATAAAACTTATTGCACGAATTATTACATAAAAATAATTGTTATAAACAATATTGGGGTACATATGATATCAGTTGTTAGTATAAAAATGTTGAAAACACAGTGCAAACAAACCCCGGCACTTGTCTTAAGGAAATTAATGGTCAAATGTATCACTCGGTTATATTAATTAAAGCCTCGATTGCCATTCAGCTCTTCTCCTTAACAATTGATGGCCATTAAGTCATTTGATGAAAACGAAAGTTTTTTTCTCTTTAATTAATAAAATAATTTCACTGACTTTTGGCTACTTCGAGGCTATTCTGGCAGAAAATAAAACAACATTAGAAACAAACAAATAAACAAAAAAAAAGTATAATTTTAGCGACCATTGCATTATTATTTGAGATCACGTTTCAAAACAATTTCTTTTATGACAATAAAACTTTGCGATAATGTCTTTCTGCTTAACGATTATATATTGCATATAAGCAATGGTATAAATATTTCAAATTTTATAGTTTTGTTATTAACGTATTATCAATGAAATTGAAAACAACTTATTTTAAGAGATATTATTAATCGATATATTCATAATATACACTGAAATTCAAACTAAGATAAATATATAAAAATGACATATATTTTGTGTATATTATGTTTAATGACTTATCAATAGACAAAAAAAAATGTTTATAAAAATACATTATATTTAATATTAAAGACTTTGGGATATCATAAAAACTAATAGTTTGCGGCAATAATGATGAATAATAACATTTATATATAAGTATTGCCATAAACCAGGAATAGTTAGAAAAGTAGGACTACTTTTGATTCGCAACAGAATATTCTTTGCGACCATTTATTTGTTGAGTTAGGATATGAATATAAATAAACATAATCTGCAATAGGAGTGACCATACTTTTAACTCTCAAGAGTTTGATATCAAAAGAAAACTTTATATGAATATCAAAACTAACAGTTAGTGTAATGTTTGTTTAGTTTGTGTGCAATAATATTGTGTCTAAAAGCTATGAGAGCGTAACACATGATTTATGATCACATTTAGCGATGAAGACATGCAAAGTATAGCCAGTCTTATGAGTATAAAGCCGTTGGAAGACATTGGAAATATTGAAGATTTTGACGACACGGTTGACGGCTCGATAGCTGAGAGATCTTCAGTGAGCTATAGTGGTGCTGACGCGCAAATGCCTGTCCTCTCAATGGAAAGCATACGCGAGAACATTGAGTTCGAGCAAATGCCTCTCCGATTGCAACATTCACTCAATGATAGCACTGAAGTGAATACCACAGCCACTGACGAGAACCAGAAGCCAAACCAAGTGAACGAAACTTCTTTCACGAGTCCTGACGAAAGTACAGAACCAGAAACTGTCGATAATTTGGATACAAGTGATTTAACCTACAAATTAGACACTTCTTTAATTAGTCCAACTAATGACAGCTCATTTGTGAGCTCTTGTGACGAACAAATGCCAGTCTATTCGGCCACAGAAGACCTGTTAAGTTGGTGTAAGACAGTCACGACTGGCTATCACGGCGTCAAAGTGACAAATATGACTACTTCTTGGAGGAATGGAATGGCTTTTTGTGCAATCATTCATCACTTCAGACCAGATCTTATTAATTTTAGTCAACTCTCTCCGTCTGATATAAAGGTTAACTGCAAGAAAGCATTTGACGCGGCGGCCACTATGGGAATACCTAAACTTATTGAACCATCTGATATGCTAATGTTATCAGTTCCCGATAAGCTATCAGTAATGACATACTTATATCAACTTAGAGCTCACTTTTGTGGCCAAGAGATGCAATTACAACAAATTGGTGACACAGCTAAAGACTCAATGTATACTATTGGAGAACAGGATAGCGATAATGAAGTTGATTGCAATCAATTGAATGACAACCAAATAAATGACAACCAGTTTAATCAAAGAAAGAGAACAATCAGATCTAATTCAACAAATAAAGAAGAGATGAGAGACGATGTTATTAGTTATGTTAAAGCTATCGACAATAAAGCGTTTTCAATGGTAGATGAAACCAACACTAATGGGAGTTTAATTCATAATAAGAGACAAATTGGGGGCAATAGGAGTGAATTGTCGTCGACTGGAGATTCCGGTAATACTACTGTCTCACCAACACATCACAACTCAAACAAAACGAAAGAAAAGTTCAGTTTTTCGCGGCTAAGAAATGGTAAACTTAAAGAATTGCAAAAGATTTTATCAAATTCATTGGATCTCAAAGATAATGGAAATCAAAAAGAAGTGCAGACGACGACAACAACAACATCCATAACAGACAACAACAACACTGACAGCAGTAATGGATCGATGAGTGGGAGTCGGGAGAAGCCAAAGCTAATGACTCGCAAACAACTTTTATACCCTTTTGACTCCGATAGCGACGAAGAGATTGAATTAACTCATCACAGAAATGGTAACAAATGTATGAAATTAATTAATTAATTATTTATTTATTATTAATTCATTTTTCGTTCACATTCTTGAGTTTCATTCATTTATTTTTTTAGTGAATAATTCATTAACGATAGGAAAACATTATTTTTATTTAATGACTTTCAGTTGTTATTTACTCTTTTTTTTTGTATTTTTCTTTTGTTAGCACAAAACTCTTCAGAGACGAGTACTCCTTCACATACCGACTCTGAGAAGAGTGCTATTGGAGAACCCATTCGACGGCCCATTCAATATGCATATAAAAAGGCACCCGTTTTGTCGCCATCACCGCCTTCGTCATCGTCATCGTCATCACCATCAGTATCATCCCGTCGCTTAACAACCGATTACACTATCACTGGCGGCTCAATGCATTCGGGTCTTTACCGTATGGCAGAACCCGTTGAATTAGCTCCGGGACTATTGGATTTGTCTCCATCCAAGTCATATAGACTACAAAGAGCACATTCAGCTCCAACTGGCCATTCATTTCTTGTTGATCCGCGAAGAGTAAAACTTTTAATTAAACTTTTAATTAGTTTTCTTTTTTCTTCTATTTTTCTGGTTTTATTAGACAAATGATTTATATCAGTTGACTCTAAGACTTAATCCTTTCAATTAATTTGCACTCAATTTCTTTACTTTCGCTTTTATTTAGCGACCGCTCTCTCGTCAAGAAGAGCTTAAAGAGAGGGCCCGCAAACTACTGGACAATGCAAGGAAAGAGGCACTCACTCAAAGAAATACTCAACCCATTGGAAATCTATCTAAAGTATATATAAATATATTTTTTATATTATAGTTTAGCATAATTTTTGTTACAATTATTATTTTATGAATTTTAAATATAAAGAAAAATAATAATATATACCGTAAGTGCAAATAAGCTAAATAATTAATGAGGTGTATAATATATACATTATATAGAGATATAGTACTGTATATTGTATATATTAGATGTACAGTATACACAATGATTAATTATCATATATTTATTTTTTAAATTTGTGTTGTATTTCTTATTTTATTTTTCATTTATTTAGCTACTATAATATCTCAAATTAGTCTAATGTAAAAATATAATAGATTATGACATAAAGCTTATAGTACTTTAGTTTTTATTTGATAGACATTTATATGATATGTTTATTTAACAAAAAACATTAATAAGTTATTGCTTGAATATAACACATAAATTATTAATTTATAACATTGTCTGCTTATTTATTTTTTCTCTCTCATAAAAACAAAAGTAATAGTAAAGTGAATAAAAAATACAAAAAAAAACAAATGTTATATTTTTGTCATGAATTATTAAGATGGTGTGTGAATATTATTTTTGATACCAAGTTTATATACTGTATAATATATATATATATAATAAACATTTATCATGCTCATATTTATTATATAAAATTAACTATGTAAAACAAAAAATAATTTGCATGAAATAATAATGATATTTTTAAAGAAACTTTATATATGTATATATAATTTGTCAAAAGAAAAGGTCTATTATTATTATATGAAATGCTTTTGTTTAAAAAAATTAAACTAAAAGAGTAGAAAAAACTCTTTGCTAAGCATTTTATGCGATGCGTCTGTAAATGTTTAGTCACTTTAAATAGTCTTAACACATAAAATAGATAAATAACATTAATTGCAGAAACATCTGATCGATAAATGTTGGTTTAGTCAACATATCTTTTTATATTATTTTATCTACATTATGGTAGTGCATGAAAAAACATTGTTTTATATTGTTATGAAACTAACTTATTATGGATATATTTATATAGAAACAATATTAGGCGTTTACACTATTAAAATATATATTATATAACATCATCAGCATTCACTTTTTTTTATAGTTATGTATTATAATTATATTGTAATATAAAAGCTAATATAATAAAATGTTTTAAGCATTTACGATAATATTAGATTATATAAAAATTTTTATCGTTATCGCTAAAAATGTTTGCTTCAAACTCTAAAATATTGATTTATTAATGTATTTTACATTAGTCTTATGTTTTGTATTTAATTATATTTAGTAATATAATTAATGTTTAATGATTTTCTAATTAAATAAATAGCAAGAAGAGGAGCGACAAAGACATCTGAGAGAAAGAGCCAGAAGATTGATAGCTGAGGCCAAACAAGGCATCACAAATGCCATCCCGTGGACCAGCTTAGACTCACCACCAGACACGATGGCTAATGGATTTCATAACATCAATATCAACGCAAATATCAATAGCAATACTGTAGACAACAACAATATCGACAATAATTATAATAGAAATTTAAATGATAATTATAACATTGAAAATAATAGATCTTTTAATTATAATGAAATGATAAGCAACGCAAGCAATAACTTGAATTTGAATAACAAAGTTTTATCACGAAGAGGTTAATTGTGTTTTATATTATTTTATTAGTAGTATTATTGAAATCAAAATTTCAGAAATTATTTAGAAAAATATTAAATCAATATTTAAGAAATCATAAATTTAAAATTACTATAAATATTTAAATTCTAAATGTTAATAGACTTGAAACGTTACTTTATCTCAAAAAATATCAAATCTAGTTGTTTTGTATGGTTAAGACATTTTTAAAAAATTTATTATTTTTTTTTTGCAAAGAGCATGGTATCGATCTATAAATTAGATTAAACAATATGTACTAAATAATTGAATACAGAATAGTTGTTTTTTTAAATGCAATAATTGATAATGATATTTTGTGAATGATTAATATGAATGATTTTTAAAAATTTAAAAATTTTGAAATTATGTTTATATATGTTGAGATTTAATAATGTAATTTTTAATATAAATTTTACAGTATATAATATAATAAGATACACATATAATTGCATGGTGTTTATTATACAAATAATTGCATAATTGTTTGAATGATTTGTATAAAACTAATATATTGATAATTTGCCACTTATTTTATTTTGCATGGTTTGCAACATTGGTTTTGCACTGGTAGGCAAAGTGCGTCACTTTAACTTTTATCAATTCAAAAAACCAATTAGTGGTGAGATTTATTTTTTATTGTTATTTGATTTTCTTAAGTTATTTTTCAGTAAATATATACAGCAAATAATAATATTATTGTAACAATATTTATCAATCATATCAAACGTTTCATTGAAATTGTCAATTAATCTTATAATCTGTGACTCTATTGTTGTTTAGCTAATACAGAAGTAAACGGAAACGACGAGGAAGTGGACAATAGGGTTGTGTCGACAGTGGATAACATTAATAGTCTGAACGGTAAACTAGTGCCGAACTCGACATACGTGTCCAATGAGATCGAGGCATTGGAACGGGAAGAGGAACAGATCGATAGAGAGGCACACTTTCTGGAGAAGCGACTTCGCAAGATTATGGAGACCGGTATACTAAACCATTTGCTGACTAAACATTTCCTTACACACCAATACCTACTTAGGGCGACACTCCTTATATCTGTATTGAATATGAAATTGATATGAATTTTTAATAACATACCGACAAATATTTATAAACTCATATACACTGTATATATCATGTATTACCTAAAACTTATATATCATAATCCAAAACAAACTTTACGCCTGACTTCACAGGTTTTAGTCTAATCTTCTTTTTAACAGAAAATAATATATACACAGAAAAGGGAATATATCTATACTTTAGTTTTTTAATACCTAAATACTATGAATATATCAATAGGAGAGACACACAAATGATATGTTTTAAAACTCTTGTTTGCCTAAACTGTATGCTCTCTTTGCTACTCTTTGCCACTATTGTGCCACTCTTTGACTCAATTGATAATCTGATGACTAATACTATGTTATGGTATCATTAGGTGGCGCCAAAAGGGAAGAAGAAAGACTGATGCAGAAGTGGTTCGTTTTAGTGAATAAGAGGAATGCCGTAATCAGGAGACAAATGCAACTAAATATTATGTGAGAAAAATAATTCACTTTTTTTATTACCTATCGTTTTTGTTTATCTTAAAACTTATTTATTTATTTATTTTGTTGTGTTTTGTTTGTTACTTTCACTTAGAAATTGGAGACAATTTTTTGTTTTATTTATTTTTCTTCTGTCGTATCGTTATTTGTTATATAAAATTGTAACTAAAGTTGCTATCGATTTAGGGGTTTTTGAAAGGGATTAAAAAATTATTTTTGTTATTTTTATTGATGGGTTGCATTAATTATTATTATTATTAGTACTATTATTACTGAATTATTTAAGAAAGTATTTATGATGTAATTTTCTGTTGAGTTGTTTTTGTTTTCATTGATATTTTTGCAAAATTAATTGCAAATTGTAATCAATAAATGGTATATACATTATATATGGTATGATTGAAAGCTTGTGTTTCAAAATGAAATGCATGAATGAAATGAATATTTAAAAATAGTGATCATAAAGACTATAAACCATTAGTTATGACATACAGTATAGCAATATATGGTTAGGCATTGGAGTTGATCTCTAATTGATTTGGATTACCTTTTATAGGGTCTGAGGGTTCTTCTTCTTCTTCTCCATTCATAGTTATTGTCAAAAGTGTAGAAAACAGTACATCTATTACTATTATAGGCAACTCATTAGTGCTTATTGTGGCCATTATTATAATCATCATAATCTTCTTTTAACAAATCCCTTATCACTCGGGACCAAATGCACCGATACATACATACGTTATATTCGCTCCCTTTCCACTCTCTCTCTCTCTCTCTCTCTCTCTCTCTCTCTCTCTCTCTCTCTCTCTCTCTCTCTCTCTCTTATAAGTCTGTCTCTCATCAGTGAAACAAAGCATCAAAATATATTTGAAAAATTTGTCGGGAGTTTAGACCCGTACGTACAGCCAAATACAATGTTAGATACACTGCTAATAGCACTGACTTTGTTATACAGTTGAATGGCAACAGCAACACAACACAAGCACTCATGAATTGAATCAATAGTATTATTCGCTATGAGATATAATTTCACAGACAATAAAAACTCATTAATTAATCATTTTCTACAATCACTTGTTATAATAATGTATTGAGAACTGAATTCCTGAGCAAACTATTTCTCAGTTATTATAATCCACTGTTTTATTACGTGTGTGTATGTATGTATGTATGTATGTATGTATGTATGTATGTATGTGTATGTATGTATGTATGTATGTATGTATGTATGTATAGCATCTACTCAATAGCTATTTTATGCCTACCTGTCCATTACATCATTATATAAGCTATTAGATGAGAAATGTATACAACATATTTCAATAGCATTTTTCTACCTTATTATGAAATTTATTGATTCATATTATATCATATATTAATTATTAAGTTTGGATTAAAATTTCCTAACTAATGATTGCAATGTGTTTTTTGTTGTTTATTAAGAAAAACCTGTGAACTGGTTTAGCACATAAAATAGGAAATACATTAACAGTGCAAATGTAAAGCATTTGATTGTTGAATGTATGGCCAAAAGCACCTTCTTTTGGTATGCCTTTCGCACACCTGGCCTTCTAAAGGCATGTTTCCAACACCTTAAGTAAGGCTCAAATAAATAACACTGTTTGCAGACAGCATAGCGCCACTGCAATAGCCTCGGGGCTCAAGAAGCTCTTAAAAAGTGATGCTTACAATAATAAGCACATATGTATTCACGTGTTTACTAAATCATAGATAACTTGTGTTCACTTTGACTTTCATTACACACGATATTTGCATTTATCGACAATATATAGCTATTTCTAACTAAACAACCAATAATTGACTGACATTTAATAGTTTCAAACAAAAATTCCCAATTTTTTGTACATTTTATTATGCTATACCTTTAGTGTTAGATCACATGTTTATTAATATAGTGTCTTTATACAGTATAATATTTATCTATAAATTATGATTGTTAGTGTTTGGCATAAAATTGCAATATTGTACTCAAAATAGCTTTTGCAGTCAAAATAATTATGGAGTCAATCAAGCAATTGATGTCATGAAAGTTGAGAGGAAAGAGAAGTCATAATATATAATATAAATAAAACACTTGCAATATATGTATTATGAGTGATGCCTATTAGCTGTCACTCATTTCATATACCATTGCATGTCTATATGTTTTTCCTATTTTCTTAAAATGTATGACATTTGACATACAGTATAGCATAATATTGAACATAATATAAAATGCGATGAAATGCTTGTATGGATATGAATGCAAATATGACAGCACAAGTGACAGCACACTAGCATTTATATATATTTTATTAGTCATATTATTTATATTATCCATTGGACCGGAATATTATGTATGCATTTTGTGCCTCAATTTTTATAGCCTTTCTTTCTTTCTTTTGGTAACTCAAGTAAATACTTAAGAAAGGCGTGAAGTTTTCGACCTTTCAATACATTTACAGCCATAACGTGTCACTCATTTAGGGCTCACTCCTGAAAGTCCGGGACTATATATCAGCTGACAAATTGTGTTCACTGTTGCTGTTTGTGTCCAATAGATTCCAGTTTTCACACTTAACACAACATTTTCAATGATTTTTTCTCTTTTTTCTCTCTTATGTGAAGCCATTCACTGTCTTTAAGAAACATAGGAACGCATTCCTAACATATTTTTTCAACATTTCTTTAGACATGTTTTAGTGTTTTTTAAAAATACTATAAATTTCTAAAACTAATTTAAAACATGTAAAAAGTAATGTCAAAAAATAAGTGATTTGCTGGTGTGAACCACAATCTTCAATCACATCATAAAAATATTTTCATTTTAATTTCAATCAAAGCGACTACACTTATAAATAGCACAGTACTATATTATTATTACATTGAGCTACACATAGCTAGTGATGCAAATTCATTAATTTGACGGAAATGCCTATAAATTGTGAATTTCTATTAGTAATAGCCTATTACTATTCATTACTATTACTAGAATTGTGGATAGAGTTAATCATTACTACCATTATTTGACTACTAGTGCTAATGGAAAGTGTTGTATATGTTTATGGGTATAGAGCACAGGACACTGTTTCACACCCTTTATATTGAGAAGCGATCAGTTGGAAAATCGGCCCTTCGTGTAGGTCTCAAGCCTTATCGTCACAAATAGTGTAGTCATACAGTAGGGGTGGTCTGCCATAGCTATACAATGATTGTTATGTGCAGTGATTTTATTCATGAGATGAGTTTGTGTCCCGTATTGACCTTCGAGTTTCAATTTCTTATATCCATTTTCATGTATTGTGTGTCCATTATTTATCCATTAGATATTTAGTGGTTCTCAATGCGGTTCCCAAACAGCTAACAATACCGGTGACAGACATTTATATGATTTGCCGCACCATTTCTGACGAATGTCTCAAATGTTTTGATCAGAAAATTAGAAACTCTACTCATTTTCAGGTGCTGTTGATTCACAGCAGTACTACTACTACTACTACCAGTCCTACAGTCCATAGAGTCACGCGATTTATGTCTAGATTTGTAATTTGAATGAAATGTCAAACAAATTCAATCAGCCATTGACTGAACGGATATATATAGCATAGCATTGATATGTTATATACCACCATGAAATTGGTCGCCAATACCCCAGTCCGTCCCTATAGTTAACCGTAATTGAAATCCCCCAACAAAGGTGATGGTTATGATGTTATGGTGTGGTCTACACTACTATACACTTCATATGAGAATTAGCTCCAAATCTAATCATAATATCAATACTAAGTTATTATGAAAAAAATTTACTAACTTTTTGTTATTGTTGTTTCCGTGGCCTCAGTCACCTTACAATACATTCAGTCAATACAATGACACAAACATTTAAATTATATTCAATTACTTATTTTGGAAATACAGTATATTTCTTAATATTACTTAGTTATAGACCAAATAAATACAATCATTTTTTATACAAAGCGAACTTAAATTTTGGATACATTGAAAAATAAGAATTTTATTGAATTTAGGAAATAAGTTGTTTTGCAAAATTTTCATTTTTAGTCTATTTTTATAATTTTAATTAATTTTAATAATTAAATATTTTGTCGTAATTTTAATATCTTTAAATAAATTTTTAAAAATTGGTTGATTTATTTTTAGTAATATTGTTTGTTTGTGATTTATTTGTTTAATTGGTTTAATTTTGTTTAAATGTTATTTATTATATAAACTAAAAACACTTACTATACTATGTTTAGTATATAATTTTAACATTAAATTGAATTAATGAAAAGAAAATAAAACATTTGTTTATTTATAATTTTAGTGAGAAAGAGGCGGATATGGAGAGGAGATTTGAATTACTAAACAAAGAGTTGCGATCTATTCTTGCAATTGAAGGTAAGTTTGCAAATGACATCCTTTTGCTTATTTTGTTTGGCATTAGAGCTGATGTCATGTCTCGCTCTGGCAATGTGTGACTGTTTTGCTAAAACCAATGTCTGACTCTATATAATGTATTGTATTGGATGCTGGATATAATAGACAATGGATGCCAACATAATTATGCTGGAAATGGCTGATATGCCAGTGCCTGATAGCTATTTTTTCATTTACTTACTCTAACAATAATAGTAACTATGGGTTGTATGGATGTATGGATGCAGTGTTGCAGCGATAGTTGGCTTTACATTAGCAACACATATACCATATCGTAATGGTTTATATTAGTAGTGATGCACTCTCTCTCTCTCTCTCTCTCTCTCTCTCTCTCTCTCTCTCTCTCTCTCTCTCTCTCTCACTCCATATATGATTCTTCAATGGTCTCCCTTTGATAAGCGGCTTAAGACTATAACATTAGAGTACATCTCTCTCTCTCTCTCTCTCTCTCTCTCTCTCTCTCTCTCTCTCTCTCTCTCTCTCTCAAAACTTACCAAAATTGCCAAAAACTTATATAATATAAATTATTTGCTCTCTCTCTCTCTCTCTCTCTCTCTCTCTCTCTCTCTCTCTCTCTCTCTCTCTCTTTCCCTCCAACTTTACTCTTATTATGAATCTCATGTGAGTTAATAATGTATTAAAAATTATATGTACATTATGTATCATATTTTTGTCTATGAATCCATTGATAACAAATATTTTATTAGTTTACTATTGTATTTCATAGTCATTTAAATATTTAGTCAAATACTGTATATTGAAATATATAGTAATATTTATTTTAATATATTATATCATTTTCATATTAAATCTTAGTACTGATCTTTTAGTTGCATTGAATTTCAAATTTATATCTCTTTTTGATTTGTTTTTTCATATATTTACACAAATGGTTGATTATTTTAGTCTCAATAATCTCTCCGATATTTTATTTGATCGAAACATTTGAAATAATTTATAAAAACAAAACAAAATTCAATATAAAAAGCATTTTTATCGATGCCTTTCACAAACAGTAATAGCGATCACACTTTTATAGTGAGTTTAGTTTTAGATAAATAACTTGAGGCTATTTTTTGAAGACCTTTTGATTTATACTTATATATATAGATTCACTATTCACATAATAATCTCTTTTATATCACACATAAATTGAACATTATTTTGGTAACATTGGAAAGTTTGCCATCAAAAAAATTGAGGCTTTATTTTTTAGCCAAATGCTAACAATTTATTTACTTTAAAACTTTAAACTCGTAATTTTATAAAACATATGAAATATAAAAGAAACAATTTATTTATATTTTTAATGCCAATTTGTGTTAAACTTACGTTTATATTAAATACAAACAAACTTTAGTAAACAATATGTAACTTTTTAAAAATATTATAATATTTAATATCTTAATTTTGAAACATTTATTATGTTTTGTTTGGATGCTTTATTAGAAAGTTTCTATATATAAGGGTATTATAAATTGAAATTTTCTTTAAAAAGTTTATCATTTTAAAACAATAATTGAATATATTTTATACTGTATATAACCGTAAATTAAATATATATTGAAATATTGCCGAAATTTAGAAAATTGTTATTTGCAAAGAAAATGTTTAAAATGAAGATAAAAATAAATTGCATTTTTAGTCCTCTCAGTTAGACATTAGTACAGGTATTGCATTTGGGAAGCTATATATACAAAGAATTTCATGAAATTTTAATCAATAGCTAAATAAAGAGTTGGTGTTAAAGTACATGAAAAATACAACTAAAAATTTTAATAGTTTTTTGCTTGTGATTACTTTTAAATGCCGTATAAATTAGATGTTATGCATACAGCGTTTCTCACTGTTATTATGAAATAAATATTACTTTTAAGTGCTTAACACCACAGCAAAAAAGGTTAAGGTGTTTGGCTATTATTTTTAAGCAATTGCTTTATTCAATGGGAAGATATTATATATTTAGAGAGAAAGATAGAGAAGGAAAAAATAATGGCATTCATTATATATTGAAGTTATGCATCAAATATTTATAAATAATAGATTCATAAATGGCGTAAAACAAGTTGAGATTGAATTATCAAATATCAAACACATATTGATGTGTATTATAGTAAAGAGTGCCTCAAAACTATTTATGACATGTTTATCACCTATGCTTTTGATTAAAACTACTCCACAGGCCATCAGTTAACTGTTATTGTGTTTAGATTATTGTTAGTTGTCTTTTGGTTACATATTTTTTCTCACTTCGGCTGCCAATTGAATTGATCGGCCGATCGGCCACTTGAAGATATAATGCGCCGCCCAGTAGTCATCCATCAGATGATTTAATGACAGCAATACATGTAATCTTGTTTATCATTGCTATTGGTTTGTATTGATTACAATTGCAAACCAATGACCCATATTATCACTATTGACGATAGGAATGCCAAACTCGGCAGTAATTAAACTATCGATCAAACTATCATTTCGGTCAATGAATACCATATATATGTATTGATAACCTTGAATGGCATAAGAGGACCATCCGATGTAATATTACAAACACTGGTATCTTATAGCTATCATTAACACCAGTATTCCTATTAAAATAATATGATTGTTAAAAGCAATTACTTTTGATATATCATTACACATGCATTATAATGTACTGACATTTAGCAAAACATAGTTAGCATTTTATAACTCACTTTTTAATTTTTTTATACTCTTATCTCTGAAATCTATTGAAAAAACAGTTTCTCATTTGTTTTGATATCAATTTTCTATTTAATCTATAGATTGGCAAAAAACTGAAAGCCAGAAACAGCGGGAAAAGTTGCTTTTGGAGGAATTGGTGACAATTGTCAATAAAAGGGATGAGTTGGTCCAACATCTCGATACTCAAGAGAGAGCGTAAGTACTATACTATAGTTATTATACAGTATATACTCGTTGTTTGTTTAGTAATTTCATTGCACACATCACTTGTATGTCTCCAAAAAATGTCAGAAGAGTTGTCAGATATTTACTTGTGGTAGACATTCACTGCGGGAATCATTTCCTGTGATTTGTCGACAAACAGCATATATACAGCACTACTGTGTCTTTCTTTTACTGAGTCTATGTCTATGTCTTTGAAACTAATCTTTTTAGGGCTCATTAGGGCTGTTGTTTGAAAAGTGAATGAGTGGAAGCACTTCTTCTTTCAATTACTTAGTTTTCATTCAAAATTTGTTTTTATTTTAGTGTTAAAAACCACAACATTTTGAACGCTTAACAAAATGTTTATTTTGAAATACAATCTAAATCTGTGTTCAACTTTCATAGTATATCCTAAAAGTTATATTGATGTCAATCAGAGGTCAATGCTATTAATGGCATATCGGGAATGCCTATGAATGGATGTGAATGGATGTACAAACTCTATAAAGAAATAGCGAGAGAAAGATATGCAATGAATTTGTTTCATATTTCTGTTGGATTTGATGTTAAAAAAATTATAATTTATTTTCTGATGCAATACATAGCATGCCTGGGATGACCTATGATCTCAATATAATTTGTTAACATGATTTGATTGGTGTGACAACAGACCCCCCTTTGCCTAAATGGCCAGCTTTTGGTCGATGTTTGACTGTATATCTTTGATACCTTGTGTGTGTCGGTAATATTTTGCACTCATTTCTGACTTGAATTTTGTCGAAATAAGCAAAAAGTCGAAACATCGAGAAGTGAGAGCACAGGTGTGTATCTCAGTCATTACATGGCATATATACACACAGTGTATACAGTTTATAAATGTACTGTATATATATAGTTCAACCCCCCAGTGTTTAGCTTAGCATCATTTGGTGTCTCTCTCACTATACCGGTGCTCAATTGCCGGATTCAATGCCGATTTATTTGATGCAAAATATCGCGGATGTAATGTTGAGAGCAATGTTCGTGAAAAGGCTGTAAACATACGACTAAAGCACCCATTATTGAGACACAGCATCTATAAGCATGAAGCCCATCACTACCAATACCAGTCTCTCTCTCTCTYTCTCTCTCTCTCTCTCTTTCTCTCTCTCTCTTTCTCTCTCTCTCTCTCTCTCTCTCTCTCTCTCTCTCTCTCTCAACTTGTTTTTTAATATTTTATTTGGCACTTTTATATAATTTACGGCCAGTGCTGGCAACCAGAATGTGCTCATAATATAAATCAAATGCACGCCATTAGAAATGGTTTTATTGTGTCGAAAGGGTTAATTGCCGGCCCTAAATCATGCCCTACCAGTGCCCGATCAATGTCTGATCACAAATTGACTTTTAAATTATTGCATTTTTATCGCTCGTTTCTCATTTTGTTTAACTTTCAAAAATATATAATCACTTAAAGTTCTTAGTGTTTGTCTAACATTTATATAATAAATACAGAGATCAATGAAATGGATGCTAATATTTTTTACATTAATTTCTAATTCAATTTATAGATTAACAAATAATCCTTATGTTGATAACTTAAGTAATTTCATACAATCAATTAGTTATTCATTTTTCAAACTTTGAAAATTATTTATTTGCTTTTAAAAATATTAGCACTTTTTTTAATATCACCAAATAGTATCGCGTTTTTATAAAATAAAACAAATTACTATTTATTTTATTGTTTTCCAATAATTACAAAATGTTTACATAATTATTGCTAACAATATTTATAGTTATTGTCTAAATGCTATACAATGGTTTTTGAAATGTATTGAATTTTTATTAGTTGACTCGTATATGTGTTTTTATGTCCTATTATTTTAGTTTAGCACTGCAAGTGCTTTCATAAAATCTATTGCAGCAATGATTTTGTTTTTATTGTTATTATTGTGTAATCATTACTGAAACGGTGTTACGGAAAAAGTTGGCGAAAGTCATAAATTAGTTAATGTTATGGCAAAAGTTAATTATAAATTAGTTTCATATCACTTAAAATGTTAGATCACAGTACCATTTAGCATAAATATAGCCTTAAATCGAGTTAAAGTTTAGCTAAACATTAGTTGCGGTACTTTTTTGGGGGTTTATGGCATTTGGTGTGGCCTTTCATGTCTACACAGGCAGTACCAGTGCTACTGTTTAAGCTAATTGTACACTATATTGACTACAATAGCATTTTAAAAGCTATTATTATAGTTATTATTATTATTATTCGAGAGAGAGAGAGAGAGAGAGAGAGAGAGAGAGAGAGGTTTCTCTTGAAAAATGATTTGTCTCAAGTCATATATATATATATATATATATTGAAAGTTGAGTCCAATGTTTCTCAAAAGTCTTAACACAAGTGAAGAATCTATTGTCTGTATTTGTGCCACCAATTGATGTCTACAATGATGTAAACGCATGCAATCAAATCAAATGCAATCCAATGCTTCCAATACATGCAATATTGCATTCTCTATAATAATATATATAATGATTAAACCAATTCAGTCGAGTCTTAAACTGTAAGGAACTGTAAGTTATATAAAAGAAATACCTTTAATAATAATGACTTGAACTGAAAAAATGATTAATTGAAACCATATATAATATACATTATTAGTTGAGATGCATATCATATTGACACTGCATTTATTTAATATACATTTATTGATTATATTAAGCTTTCTATTGTTATATATATTTTGTTGTTTAGCATTGAAGACGACGAGATGGTCGAGAATGCAACTCAAGGACCGATTTATCTGACGGACGATACAACAGACAAAAACTGTCTTATTATGTAAAACTGTGATAATATTGATAACAATCACCACATTTGACAAAATCAATGTTAAATTATTTACATTCACGATATATGTTGGCATCCAATAACACATAACAGTTAGCTTATTGGCTGATTTTATTATACTGTATAAGTAATAAATATTAATATAAATTATTAATAATGACAATAATAATAAAATTATTATTAGCAATGTTTAGTATCGATTTTATGCTAACTTATTATACCTGGACATTAAATGGATTAACTATAATTTAAAATCATTTATCATTACTTTTAGGTCTATGAAATCGATACCAAAAGTTGATAGTTTAGTTCACTTTAATGTCTAGTTATGACACTAATTATTAAAAGCTTATATTTTTTTCTTAATATAAACATAACTTATTATTAATTTTTAATTTTAGTAAAATCGTTGCACTTTCTACAAAATGAGCTTTAATTTGTAACTGTCTAATTAGATATCAATACTATAATATATTTTACAAATTAATGTTATGTAATAATCAGGGTCTGTATTAAATGTAATGATTTCTAACACACGTTTGTTACAAATTAAACTCTTTAAAAAACATTGAATGATACCATTGAAACTTTATCTTTGATTATAACTTAATTTTATTTCAGTTAAATAATTTAATTTAATTTATTTTGATTACATAAATTTGAAGTTAAATGTTGCATTATATAAAATGATAATACATTATAAAATTTTTTAATTTACTTCTTAATAAAAAAAGAGTATTTAATGCATGCTTAAAGTGATTTTATTTTGATTTAAATAAATTATTTTGATTTTATAAATTATATATTTAAAATTATTTTGAAATTATTATTACAATTGTTTGAATGATTCATTTTTTTGGAAACTTTGGTCCGATTTTTATCATTTACTGATAATTAAAATTTTTAATAATGTTATTTATTTAAATAAAATAACAAATAAAACTTATTATAAAAATATAAAAATAAATAAATAAATATATTGATAACAAGCCAAACCTACGGTAATGTATTAACATTATGTTTATTATAAATGACAAGATTTAATAAAATATTTAGTACAATATTTACATCATAAATATGTTTAACCAATATATTTAAATGTTGGATAAATGCCAGCAATTTTGCATATTTAGTAAAATAATCCATATTTAAGCTAACATTTATAAGTAGGGAATAATAATAATAAATATGATGGGGTTTAGTATGGTTTGGCTTAAAATCACTTGTTATTTGATTAGACACTTACGCTTTCAAGTGGTGTTACATAACATTGAAAATTTTCTCCATTTATTGTCTATAGTTTCTCACGCTTTTGCCAATGAGATAGACATCCCATGCAATGACAATCACATGTAATGGTTGTTAATCTTAGCACATGTTTGGTGTCAAATACTAATAGACTGGTTATATGTGTGTCATATGAGACACGGAGTGACGTATTTCTTGGATTATCACCAGCCGTGGCAAGTGTTGTACTAAATCCTTGGCTCAAAAATCATATCAGAAGTTGTATTCGCCACTCATTTTTGCTAAGTTGTCCGGCACTGACACGTGTGCCAACTGAGCCCAACCAATGTTTAACACTAAGGTTCTACATAACCATTGCATTAGTTTTACAACAAAAAACCCGTGTTTTACATCTATGTTATAACTTATACTATTGCCATATACTGTATATGTATATAATTATAGAGCATTTTATGGGATATATATTTGAGACATAAAATCAGACAAATGACTCCACTATTGGACTAACTATACATCAGTTGTTCTGTAGGTCTGTTCAAAAGGAATCGGATATCAATTCAATTAATACAAAGAAAATATCTTTTTATTGATTCATTGATTCATTTATTAAACAGTTTGACTGCAACTCCCGGCACTTATCAACAGATAGAGATATATATATATATATATATATATATATATATATACAGTATATTTAGTGGTATATATGTAGTCCTAAAACCCAAATAACAAGTAATACGATTGCAATCGAGTTTTACGCTCTTCCGAGCAAATGATTGCTTTAAATGAATGAATATTTGATATAACGATTTGTATGTAATGTTTGGCACAACTTTGTGTCACAAGAACTAGCATTTGGATTAATATCAGTTACAAAGTTTCAATTACTTGTATTGCAATATTAATAAATTTATTTCAAATACATGTCATTTTGATTATATATATATAAATATGAATTTTAAAAGTATTCATTAAATCACTACTTATTTTTTTAAAAAATGATTATGACTTTAGGGGAAATTTAAAGTGTGTAACAATTATATGTGGTTTTTAGTATTAAATTTTGTATTAATTGCTGTCAATATTTTTAAGTTATTAAACATGACAAATATTTGTTTTCAATCAACGTTTTGGTCAAATTTGTGTATTTAGTTGATTATTAGTCGACAAATTATTATAATTATTCAAAAATAAACCACTAATATAACATCAATACTTATTTTAAATGGAAAATTAGTTTATCATTATTAGTTATATAGTATTTGCCAATTTTGTCTAATAATAATAATAATAATTCGTTAAATTTGTAAGCAATAAGATTTCGATGAATCTAAAAGGGATCCCAAATATAGCTTTCATTATTATTTTAAATACTAATATTTGAATACAGTGTGTGTCCAATAGTGTCCGACACACAAAACAATAGGGTTTTCATATAAATATTTGATATATTTGATGGACACATAAAGGTTAGTCAATGGGTAGTGAATGAAACCCCCCATTGATTCAATCATTTAAGGCAAATGTGCTGAAAACTGCCGGCGCTGTTAGTAGTGTCATATTGTGGACCATATATTTCTATATTGAGGACATGGAGGGAGAAAGTGAGGGAAAGTTATAGTCGAGCATATAATATATGAACACATGTACCACAATATTATAGCAAATGTAATAATACAATACTTTTGAAGCAATAAATCGGATGTTTTATTAAAAATATAGTAAAAGAGAGTTAAGAGTACATCAATATCTAACAGAGCATCACATCTGTTACTCATATCTATTATTATTGTCTATTATCACTACTATTATTATTATTACAGTTGTATTATTGCCTAATATTGTATTTAAAAACTCCACAAACATATTATCAACTCATTGATTGATTTAATACACAGTACTATTGAATATAATATTAATATTTATAGAAACTAATTCACTAAAAATTCAATGTTAGACTCGTTTTTTTTTGTTTCAAATATTATTTAATATATTTTTAAGTAGTCATTGAAAACTTTATTAAAAATAACYGTAAAACATATAATTTTCAAATGTATTAAATTTTTATTTTATTTTATTTGTTCAGAGTTTATAGATAAAACTTGATTTTTACCAAAATTATTATACAAAATAAATTTTGTTGATTTATAAATAAAATTTATGATATTGCAAATAATTAGTGCAAATATTAATAAATTTTTAAAAATTAAATTAAATTGATGTTTGCATAATTTTAATGAAGTTAATTATTATAGAAATAACGAGAGAGAGAGAGAGAGAGAGAGAGAGAGAGAGAGAGAGAGAGAGAGAGAGAGAGAGAGAGAGAGAGAGAGTAATTTATAATCAAATATATAGTTTAGGGTTTGGTGTGAAAATAAGGTGTAATAACTTAGTAATGAGTGTTTTTAATCAGTAATAAATATCTGTCACATATTTGTTGGATTGTAATTAATTGTCGTTTTGGCAAAAAATCATTATTTAAATTCTTTGTATTTAATTATTAATTTAAATGATCTAACATTAAATTTGAATTGAATTACTTGAATGTGTAAATAAAGTAAAGATTTATTATAACATTTCATGAGTAGTTTTTAGTAGTTTTTTGTTTATAATAGTGATTAATTTATTGAAAAACTGTCCAGGTCATATACATGTATAAGTTAGAAAGTATACATTATGCTTTTTATACTAATAGAGGGGAATTCATGGACACATTTACTAATAGATTACTAATGTTAGGAAAATCAAACATTCAATGTATTTGATATTACTGCAGGACATTGATAAAACAGTTCACATAGTGTCTCAGATTATGTTTATTTTTTTTTATAAAAAATAGACATTTGAAAAAATAGTCGCTTAAAACTTACGTTTTTATTTGTGTCACATTTATTGAAAGGCTATTTATTTTAAATACAGTATCCAATACTTAAATAAAACTTCATATTTGACCACAAATTTAATGAATAATAGCAATTGGGAGTCCCTGTCATACATTCATTTTAATCGTAAGCTTATTTTATTTGATATATTTATATATAATACTTTATAAAATTTAAAAATTATTATTTATTTTATAATAGTTTAATTTTATTTAATTTAAATTATTATTTTGTTATTATCATTTATTAATATATAGTCAAATATTTAATAGTTGTTTTGAAACATGATTTTATAATATTAAAACACCAGTTTAATTAATAGTTTTATCTTTTATAAACAATTTAATATTAATATAAATATAATAAGCCATAAAATATATGCACTATTTAATTATCATTTATTATCACTGATTACACATTTATTGTCAATTGTTTGGCGTTTTGTCAAAAGAAAAAAATTATTTTATTTGTTACATAAAAAATAAGATAAATAATTTATTGATTAATTTATTTTGAATGAGTGGGTTGACCACTATGTGTATGTGTGTGTGTGTGTGGGATCACACAAATCCAATTATAAATGCTTTAAGCAAACGGCAAAACATTGAAATTAGAGTCATGTTTGCAGAAAAATTCATGTAAAATACAATGTTTTTAGGCCTCCTTTTGAGCCAACGTCTCATATAAAGAGTTCATTGCTTCAAATCTCTCTCTCCCWTTCTCTCTCTCTCTCTCTCTCTCTCTCTCTCTCTCTCTCTCTCTCTCTCTCTCTCTCTCTCCCTTAAAGTGTGTCTAAAAAAATGCTTCAAAAATTATGTGATGTGGCACAGGGAGTAAAAAATAACAGTCTCATATTGTGTCGGTATTTTGCGTGAGTGTATGCTCTTTGAAATGAAATTATCCAATAAATTAAATGATGGCATAAAGTTTAGAGCACTGAATATGGCTATAATGCACACTAAAGCTACACAATTGGCAATTCAAATGGCAAAACATCATAAAAACCAAAAAATGATATTCATTACCATTACTTACTATTCAATGAAAGACGTGATATTTTAACTCTTTGCTCAACAATACATAACTTATTGTATACTACTTTCTAATTATATATATATATATATATATATATATATATATCTCTTATTTATTTATTTTTTATCTCTCATTTTTCATGTTTTTATAAAACATTTTCTTAAATTAATAACAATAATAATAAAAAGTTTGTTAAAAATCAATTATCAATTAATTTGTTATTAAATTTTTAATAAATTAAACTTGAAATTTGAATTGAATTGAATTAATAGCTAATAATTTTTTGGTAGATAAGTTAAAATTAGAATTTCCGAGATATTTAGCAAACATTTAAGCAGAGATTTAAGTCATGAATTTGAAGAAAATAAAAAATTGGTATTATTTTCATAAATCTGTTGCTATTATTATTATTATTATTATTATTATTATTATTATTATTATTATTTGCTCTCTCAATAGTGTAACGCCAAAAAAATGGTGCGAAGAGAGGCATAAAACTCATAACATTTAATAGTTTTGCCACAATTTATTTTTTTTGATTCATACATACAGTCAGAGAGTGTTTGTGATGAGATATTCAGAGCCATATAAAACAGGCCGTCATTTGTATGGCCCCTCAGCGGGTGTTTCGATTGCCTGCCATTTCTGTCCAAATGGTTTACTGTATATATATATTCACTAAATCTTAGACACTGATTGCACATACCGTACCTTTTTTTGCAACCATATCCCACATATTTATATTTTTTTATTATACTAACTTATTATTACAAATATTATTATCATTATCATGACTATAATGTGTTGATTTGTTTAGCAGTTTTAATACAAAAAAACTGATATAAAATTTAAAGTCAATTTCTCATATAATATAATTTATGTTTTATATAATAGGAAAAAATGATCCACTTTTAAAATTCAATTTTTTATATATAGATAATATTTATTATATATTTTTTAATAGTACTTATATTAGTAATATATGGCATATTTCCTATTGAGGGATAAACTCTTTAATACCATAACCTTTAGTTATTGCGATATACGCTTAAAGAAATAACTATTATAAGTACAGTATATACCTCTCATCATTTGCTAGTGTTATTTAAATCATTATAACAGTTATCACTTTTAATAAATCATTTTGACTATTATTATAGCAATTATTATATTTAAAGCGCTGTTGTGTTTTTTGCAGAGTCGGAGAAATGTGTTATTTTTTACATGTATTTTCATTTTATTTATTATAATTCATTTTCATATACATATCTATATTGAGTATTACCTCTAACTATAAAACTACTAACATTTGAATCAAGTAATACAAGTTTTTGGCAATATATTAAAAATTCAAAATTTTATTTTATTTATTTATTATTATAAGTATTCTCTCTCTCTCTCTCTCTCTCTCTCTCTCTCTCTCTCTCTCTCTCTCTCTCTCTCTCTCTCCATGTTTCGTGTATTTTCTCTAATGAATAATTTAAAATGAATTTAAAATTTTCACACTTTATAATCATCACTTATCTATATATTATATATATTGCGAGCACTAATATATTTGTCCGATAATTAAAACATAACAAATAAAAATGCAAACTATATTATTATAATTTATTATTATTTTTAAAAAGTGACAACTCTTAAACATAAATAATACACATTGTGTGCAAAATTACTATTAATTATTTATATAATGATTTTTATTTTCAAATTAAACTCAATATTTAATCTAAGTAAAGTTATATATATATATAGTTTTTCTTATTTAAGTAAATAATTTTTAGTACAAATAAATTACTCAATAAATAGTTTTATATATTGCTATTTTAAAAATATGTTTACAATATGCTAACATCACATTTTCCTACTGTTTTCTTTAATAATAATATTTAGTATTTGTGTTTATATTTGTTTTATGAAGAGTGAAATAATGTATTTATTGAAAAAATAATATTTATTGAATATATTTTATTTTATACGAAAAAAGTAATGCTCTTTATATTATATAAAAACAAATCGATATTTAATATAAAACTCATTATATAATATGGTATGAGAGAAAACATTGATTGTGTGTTAGATCTGACAGCACCGGTATGTTATTATAAATAAGAGAGAGAGAGAAGCGCTCATTCAAATCACACCTACTTAACGCCTATACCTTTGCGGGCAATAATCATAATAACAACAATCTCGACGTGAGTTAACCATAGTTTTCCTAATAAATCAAATTCATTACATTTGTGTTAATTTGTTTTTTCATTTGCTTTACTTATTTTGTATAATTTTTATATGAAACACATTCATTGAAATGTTAAAATTGGTATTAAATCCTTATTTATACATTTGACTCAAAGTTTATCTAAAAAAATGTTTCATTTAACTTCAACTCATTTAATTTCAATTTATATATACTTTATAACCTCATATATATTATACAGTATATGCTTTCAATTTGATTTGTTTGAAAATGTTATTCAAAATTTAGTGAAAAATAGTTTATTTAATTTAAAGATGAAAGTCAATAGAGAATTGTTGAGTAAAAAAAGAGAGAGAGAGAGAGAGAGCTTAACTTGATTTTGAATGTTAGAAAAATATACATAAAATAATGGTGGGGTTTGGGAATATGCAGTGTATTGTATAAGTGCTACAATTGAATAGTGTTTTTATTGTGCAAACACATTGTTGAGAACAGTTATCTGCTAATGGCTGGGCTTGCATTTGGCTAATTGATAGGCCATGTCTTTGCAATAGACAAACACGATTTGACACTTGCTTTCAATGTATGTGCTCTAAGAGAGAGACATACGGGAGATGCGCTATCATTGCCTGAGCTCTCCCGCATCACTCCATTAACATTATATCGGAAAATAGCAGAGCTTTTGATAGACGACTCTGTGTTTATAAAGCATCTCATCTTTTACAGTGATATGACAGCCAAAGGCATATAACAATTGTCCCCAAAAACCCATTTCGGAAGTCATGCCTATTCTCCCATTCAATACAACTACTATTAATGCAATTGAATTATATTAGAGTTTATCCCGTTATCAAACATTATGGCAACTGTTGTCTGCCGGATGTCAGACTTGAAATGCTTTTGCTTATTATTAATGCAATTTTGCTCATTAGATACGCAACCTATCGATGCTATTATACTAATATGTATCATAAACTATCTCTAATATATACATTCATATTTGCATTGATTGTTCACTTTTTGTTATTGCCAATGATCAGTGATTTAAGTAAATAACTTATAAAAACAACACAAAGTATTAATATAAATGTGTTTTTCACAAAAATACTTTTTTTAACTAAATATTTAAAAAGCAAACAACAGATTATTAGTGGAGTATAAGTTGTTGTTGTATATACTGTACTATACATACTGTACATACAGAAAGAGAGCTCAGGTATTAGTTATCGATGTTTGTATTTATAATGATTTGTATGTTTAATACATATTTTTGTAAAAATGCAATGCGCTTATAAAATTAAGCTCAGATTTTTTTTTGCTGGGCTATAATAAGATAGAGAATCGACACTAAAGTTACATAAAAAGTAGTTATTGTTGGCAATGACTGGAGAGTTAGTAAGTCTAAGATGCGGACAAATCTTCTTTTGTTGTAAGGATTAAAAAATTGGAACTACTGTTAGCACTGTTAGCTCTTTTTAGTTACTGGATGTTTGAGATGTATTAAAAAATAGTACTCTTTATGATCCGATAAGCCGGACTTATGGCTGTCTCTCTATATATTGCATCTGTCTGTATGTTTGTTGGTTGTGCTCTGCTTTTGGGTATCTCATGTTTAGACCATAACCAGCGATGCCATCGATGCCAATGTAAACCACGAGAAGAGATGTCTAACAAATTTAGTTGTGTTTTGCTAACAGAATCGGTGCTCAAGAGTTGTTGTTTGTGTATATGTTTACCACTGATATCGAAACTTTACATTTAATGTCTGATATGGTTGTTATCTGGTTATATACCTCTGGTGTTTGGTGTGACTAAACACTAGTGCATAGAATTTTCAATTGTAAAGCCTTTGATGATAAGTGTAAACAGTAGTAAAAGTGGTAACTGTGCT